TGGCGACTTATTAGCGACGAACGAAAAGGGTATATATGGAGTTAAATGGAATACTTCTGTAATTTGCTTAGTTAACACAGAGACCATTACCTTTCATTTATTATAGCATTGAGTACCATCGTGTGGTAGACACTTCGTTGCCTAATCTATAGATCCCGTCTATGATAGAAAAGTGCACGTGACCACGTGCCTCAGCCGCGCGCGTGTATTTTTAGTGGTAATTGGCGTTTAGTGAGTTACGTGAACTCCTCAACGCTGCTCTCGCTGCGTAGCTGCCTGGTCAATCAAACGTTCACACTGAGCTATGCGATTTGCCACACTGAAGGCACAATAGTACAAGATGTAAGTGGATTTACATCCTCCTTGAGTCTTGTTGTCGCTCTTGTAGTTTAACTGATTGCTGTATAGGTGTACGTATGAGCCGGGGAGGCCATATATTCCGTTCATACGCTAACCTATGACATAGCGAAAATTGACAAACTCTCCATCCTTGGGTAAGATGGGACCTCTACTGCAAGGATGCCCTTACTGATAAGTGCTACTAGGGTCCGGTCGTTCGACAATACCCGCAGTGAAACTATACAGTTCCATACCCCTCTGACTCTAATTGTCGGGTACAATGGCTCTGGGAAGACGGTATTAACCTAATAAAATGGTAAAATCCATGATTAATTGATAACTAATTGTTGCTAGACGATTATAGAGTGCCTCAAGTATGCTACGACCGGAGACCTTCCTCCAAACAGCAAGGGTGGCGCGTTTATCCATGATCCAAAGGTATTTCTCCCAACCTTCTGTGATCTAGGAAAGAAATCATTAATATAAAGTTTTTGTATAGTTATGCGGCGAAAAGGAAGTCTTTGCCCAGGTTAAGCTGGCTTTCAAGGCCACCTCGGCTGCCAAAATGGTAGTCACGAGAAGTCTTCAGCTCACTGTCAAGAAGTTGACCAGACAGCAAAAGACTCTAGAAGGCCAGCTCCTGATGATTAAAGAGGGTGAAAGAACAGCAATTTCATCTCGTGTAGCCGAGTTGGATCAAATAATGCCGCAGTACTTAGGCGTTTCTAAGGCAGTGCTTGACTCTGTCATCTTTTGCCATCAAGATGAGAGCTTATGGCCGATGAGTGAACCATCCGTGTTAAAAAAGAAATTTGACGAGATATTTGAAGCCTTGAAATATACCAAGGCCATTGACAATATCAAAGCATTGCGAAAGAAACAGAACGAGGAACTTGCAAAGTACAAAATTATGGAAAACCATGCTAGAGATGACAAAGATAAAGCTGACCGTGTAAGTATTGCTTTGAAATATTGGTGCGTTGTGTCATTACTAAACTACTCCCTAGGCTGAGAAACGGTCTCTCAAACTCCAAGAAGAAATCGAAGCCCTTCGAGCAGAGAGCCATGAGCTCTCGAAGGAGATGAGACGTGTGGCTGATCTTGCGGATAAAGCATGGAAAGAGTCTGAAAGCTATGCCGAGATCTTAGGTGCGTTGGAGGGGAAACGCATTGAAGCTAAGAGTATTCAGAGCATCAATAATCTAAAGCAACACCTTGTCGAGGTCGATGAATCCGACGAATGGCTTCGGTCAACATTGGAACAATTCGAGTCACGACAAGCAGAATACCAAAACCAGGAGGAATCTTTAAAGGAGAAATATATGGATCTGAAAGAACTCATTGAACAAAACCGCCATAAGCTGGGCTTAAAACAAACTGAACGCGGGAAGAATGAAAACGATAAAGCTCAGTTTGATAGACAAGTGGAGAGGCGAGTAAGGCTAATCAAGGATATAGCCCGACAGAACAACTTTCGTGGCTATGACTGTGATTTGGATGAAATAGAAATCAACGATTTCATGGACCGAGTTCAAAGGTTAACCAAAGAACGAAATCAGGCCTTGGAGAAAGCTAAACGAGAATCCCAAAACCAGCTGAAAGATGCGCAGACACTCCTCAACCAGCTCAGCCAACGAAAATCGGCACTTCAAGAAGTGAAAAATTCTGCAAAAAAACAAATATCCATGAATGATAAAGAGGCAGATGCCATTCAACGTCGTATTGATGAGATAGATGTTGATGAAGGAAAACGTGCTGTAATTGAGGCAAGAATGGAGGAAACTGAGAAAAATCTGGAGAAGGAAAAGGATAAGGCAAAGAATGCCTCTTGGGAGAGTGACATTCAAAAAAATGATACTGAGCTCCGATTGCTAGAAGAAAAATCCTGCAAGCTAAATGCTGAGTTAATCCAAGGAACCAAAAAAGCTGGTGATCTGGCCCGACTAGATCACCTCAAAAAAGAATTGAAAGATCGAGAACGCAGCCTTGAGACCATGTCCAGTGCCCACGGAGACCGGATTTCTAAATTAGTTGATTCATCCTGGAGTCCAAGTAATATTGAACAAAGATACCAGGATGTACTCAAAGAGGCCTCTACCCTAGTTACTACTGCAGAACGAGAACGTGATGGTACCGGTAAAGAACTTGAACTCATTGACTTCAAACTCAAGAATGTGCGAAAAAATCTCCAGCAACACAGCGCAGACGTTCAGAATGCAGCAAAAAAAATAAATGAAACAATTGGAGACGAGCCTGAAGAATACCCACATACCGTTAAACAGAAGCAAACTGAGCTTGACATGGCTAGGAAGGATGCCGATCACTATGCTGGTTTGGGCGAATATCTAAACAAGTGTTTAGATGCTGCAAACGACAAGAAAGTATGTCGAACATGCGCTCGCCCTTTCAAGACAGAATCGGAACTACAGATATTCAAAAACAAACTGAAAGCCTTAATAAAGAAAGCCACGGATGAGGACGTGGTTGCTGAAATTGAAGCACGAGAAGCAGACCTTGAAAATGTTCGAGGAGTGGGAACTTTTTATGAGACATGGATCCGACTGGCTGGAACCGATATACCTGCTCTTAAGAAGGAACAATCCGGCCTAGAGACTGAACGTGAAGGGGTACTTGCAAAATTGGAAGAACATGATAGAATTGTGGACCAGAGGGTGGAATCTAAAAGAGACATCGAGTCTCTATCTAAGAACGTTGCAACCATCTCGAGATACAACAATGAAATTTTAACACTCCAAACCCAGATCCAAGATCTTTCAGCAAAGCAAGAAGAGACTGGAACGTCTCGGACTTTAGAAGACATTCAAGATGAAATCGCTACCCTCGGTGAACAATCTCGCAGTCTCAAGCGGATTTCCAGTAAATTGACTCATGAATTGAATCAATCTCGAGTGGATGCTGGGAAATTGGAATTGAAACTTCGTGATCTACGCAGAGAGCTTGATAACGTCAATTTCGAGCTTGAAAAGAAAGCCACCCTTGTATCTCGAGTGGAGGAATACCGAAATCAAAACTCGAAGCAGCGAGAAACTATTGAAAATGCTGACAATGATATCGAGGGTCTTGATCCTGAAGTTTCCAAAGCCCAAGCAAGATATGAAGATATCAGTGCCCGGGGCGAGCAAAGAGAAAAGGAATTGCAACAAGAGATTTCTGGACTAAATGATAGTCTTCATCAGCTGGACCTTGCCAGTGAAGATATCACAAATTATATTGAACGAGGTGGCCCCGCTCAGCTAGAACGCAGCAAGCGTGAGCTGCAGGACATATTAGACGAGATCAAAAGCTTAGAAGCCGAGCAAACGGATCTCACACGTGAACTCAACAATATATCTACCCGCCTAAAGGATAGTGAGAGTACTAAACGCCAATACTCGGATAATCTTCGATATCGTCAGGAATCTAAGGCTCTTATCAATGTAAACCGCGAGATAGCAGATCTCGAGTCCCAAAATGCGGAGGTGGATCGAAGTAGATTCAAAGAAGAATCTGAACGAAACACTAGGGAACATAACGCCCTTGCAGCGAAACAAGCAAGCAAGATGGGTGAAATGAAATCAAAGGATGATCAATTGATGCAGCTTCTTGCAGATTGGAATACAGACTACAAGGACGCTGGAGCTAAATTCAAGGAAGCTCACATAAAGGTTGAAACTACCAAAGCTGCAGTGGAGGATCTTGGAAGATACGGAGGAGCTCTAGACAAAGCCATAATGAAATACCATGGCCTTAAGATGGAAGAAATTAACCGTATCATTGGGGAGCTATGGCAAAAGACTTACAGAGGAACGGATGTTGATACCATCCTGATCCGGTCTGATAATGAAAGTGCAAGAGGGAACAGGTCTTACAACTACCGTGTTTGTATGGTCAAACAGGATGCTGAGATGGACATGAGAGGGCGTTGCAGTGCTGGTCAAAAGGTTCTGGCTAGTATTATTATTCGACTAGCATTGGCTGAATGTTTTGGTGTTAATTGCGGCCTGATTGCGCTTGACGAACCAACTACGAACCTTGATCGTGATAATATCCGCTCCCTTGCTGAATCCTTGCATGAAATTATCAGGGCCCGTCAGCAGCAGGCAAACTTTCAGTTAATCGTCATCACCCACGATGAGGAGTTTCTTCGAAGCATGCAGTGCGGTGATTTTTGTGATTACTATTACAGGGTATCACGAAATGAGCGCCAGAAATCTATCATTGAGAGACAATCTATTGCAGAGGTTTGCACACACTCCCTTTTTAATGTACTATGTTTACAAGCTGAAACTAATATTTCCCCTTTCGCTTCGCTAGGTGATGTGACGAGGTAACTGATGCGCTGCTTTGATACGGTAATCTTTCATCGCTGAGAATGGTTTCTTGTGATGTTTGTTAGCTGGCTCTAAAGTACTAAATATATGGATGAGACCTTAACGCTACAGTGAATTTTTGCCTTCGCCTTGCCTCAAGTTGATCGAAAGCGTAATCTTTATACCTACTATGTTGGCCTACTGCACGCTGCCGACAAACGTAAAGAGGAAAGAAAGAAAAAGAAAAGGGATTTAATACCTATGTGTAGTTAATATTATGGCTGAAGCGCCAATGACAGGAAGGTAAGCGCTGCAACTCGATTTGGGTCTAAATATAACTGCATACATTCTCTATAAAGCATCCCCTGGGTCTTCAACTTCATCCTCATCAATTAGTGGCACGAAACGGAAATCAATAAAACTAACATTACCCATGGCTGTTCGAGAAGCATTTTGTGTGGAAGGGCCAGATGCATCAGTGCTAGCACTATCGTTGAGCTCGATCATGAATTGAAGGCTTAAGACACCCTGCTTATCTCCACGTATGCTTACTTTGCTGGATGCACCCATCGCCCCAAGCGCCTTTTTCAGAAGCGAAAACCTATACCGTTGCGTTATTCGGGATTTTGACGAAGGTGGTTCGACCAGGAAGGTTTCAGTTACGGTCGGTGCAAGCTTGTTTCTCTTGGGCTGCCTGGAGCTTCCATCCTCATTGAATGATTTGTATGCCGGGTCAACGCCATCTGATTCCTTATCGATTGCAAATTCAACAGTTGATTCACTGAACGGGCCGCCGGATGCAGATAATGCGAAAAATGGCGTCTGATTCGGGGATGCAGAGAGTGATAGGACGGTAGGTGATGTTGAGTCCAGCTCTATGATTGCGTTATGGAGCCACGTAGAGCGCATAATTATTTTGAAGACTATAGCATCGCGCTGGAGTGGGATATCAAATTCTCCCGGTGTAGAGTCCTGGGAGGAGTCCTCGACCTCATAGGTAGTTAACTCGCATGTAGTAATGACGCCAGCTTCAGCTAGGGTTATGCAAAGTGGAGATCCCTTTCGGCGGTAGCCGATGGTACAAGAGCGGTTCATTCCTAGAGCAGGGCTTGAAAAGGCATTCATACTCTGAGTATTTTCAATATTGGTCATTTGATTTGGTCTCTGTGATGAGTCGCTAATTCCAAATATCTGCAATGTTTCGAGGAGAGCAGACAGAGAGATGGTGAACCTGGGATATAGTGATGTATCAAAGAAGTCGCCGTCTTCTTCGGGTTGGGTAACGCCGTCGTGCACATTCCGAACGTTGAAAATGTAGCTCGTGAAGAGTGCTTTGTCTAGAAAAGCAAGTCCTTGAACTACTCTTCCTTCCTCGACCGAGAACCGAATTCCCTGAGGAGTGATTTGAACGGATGCCTGGCGAGAAAAGCCAATGCATTTAAGGAGGGTATAGAGCTGGTCTGTAGATGTTGAGACGGCGTAGAGAACAGGGGTGCTATCCATTGTGATTGCTGTGGCCTATTGAGGAAGACAAACGCAGCTCGTTGATGCCAAAAATCGAGTTGGGCACGGTGATGTAAACAAGAGGAGGAATCTTTAAAATTAAATGAAAAAAAGATTCCAAATACTAAACATAGCTAGCAGAGACAGGGTGATATTTGTCAAGTAATGGAGGCGGGCACGATATTAAACATACACCCCCACTGCACAGATCATGAAGACCGACCCGAATCTATGATAATTAGAGCGATGGTGCTAAGGCTTCATTAACAATGCTAGGAAAACTTACCCAAATGCTAACGAGGCTGGAACTCCCAAGAGAGCGATGTTCAGAGCGGACCGATCTAGAAATTGTTAGAAGGATTCGCTAACATTAACTGGGAAGAGGCATACTTAAAGCGAAAATTCCAGTAAAAACAAAGCCTATTCACATATTAGCGGGTTGTAAAAGTTTCGATGCGTATAATTAAGTCAATTGGGCACAGCATACCTGCGAACAAAAGTAATATAGCTGGAAGAAGTTGGGAATTAGTCGGTACGGTTGAATGGTAAGGGCTCCCAGCTGCAGAGCGCCAGACCTCCTCCAAAGACATCAGGGCTACAACGGAGAGTTTGGGCACAGAGGATGTACTAAATTATCAATCGATGCCTTTATCTGTCGCACCGCTGGCTGGATCTATCGTTGATCTTTGTAGATGTTGACTTTTGATGTTGATTTCAGAGTCTTTGACAGCTTGTGGTAGGTTTGCTGCCTGATTAGGTTAGCGCAAGCTGTGGCGGATAAATTATTAGCCGAGAGGCGCCACCCGCACCCGACTTGGCGCGCGGACCTGCAGCTCTGCGACTGACGACATCGCAGGATGTTGTAGCCGGTGGGAAGCCGCAGGTTCGCAAAATTCGAAAACATGGCGCCCGTGGTAGTTGATCGTGGGTTTCCCCGTGCCGTGTTCATATCAATATGGTCGACTGACATCCTTTTCCAATTTCTTAGGCGCAAAGCGAAAGGCTTCGGAGGAAGCCACCACACCGGACTCCAAGGCGAACATCAAGAAAGCCAGGACGGAATCTCCAGAAACACACGACCAAGTATGCAACGTCTGACAAATAGAGCGCAACGATTCTATATGAAAGAGTATAACCTAACTAATTATTAGGAAGAAACAGATGCAGAGAAAGTGAAGCTTGTTCCATACGCGGAGAAGGTCTGTCATGATTCAATGAGCTATCGGTTTTTGCCTGAACCATTCGGCTGACTTGAATTTTTATGTGTTGATTATAGCCTGCTGTTTTAGAAGAGAGAGAAGGAAAGATCGAATTTCGTGTCGTTAACAATGACTCGTCCCGAGAGAGCTTCATCATCCTCACCGGCCTCAAATGCATATTTCAGAAACAACTCCCTAAGATGCCCAAAGATTATATAGCCCGGCTTGTCTACGACCGAACGCATTTGTCTATTGCTATTGTGAAGCACCCATTGGAAGTTGTTGGGTAAGTATATTTTGGGATTGAATGGCCAGAAACAGTGACGAGAGCTGATACCGGCTATAGTGGAATTACTTACCGGCCATTCCATGGACGCAAGTTTGCTGAGATTGTGTTCTGTGCTATTTCGTCAGACCAACAGGTCAAGGGGTATGGTGCACACCTCATGTCTCACCTGAAAGTGGGTACAATCTATCTATTTCCACCCGGTAATCGTATAGATCAGTGCTAAACTGTGTTTATCAATAGGATTATGTTAAGGCGACCTCAGACGTAATGCACTTCCTAACCTATGCGGATAACTATGCAATCGGATACTTCAAGAAGCAGGGCTTCACCAAAGAGATCAGCCTTGAAAAGTCCATATGGATGGGATATATAAAGGACTACGAAGGAGGTACCATTATGCAGTGCTCTATGCTTCCTAAGATACGCTATCTAGAAGCCGGTCGAATGGTACTCAAGCAGAAAGAAGCTGTGTACGCCAAGATCCGCGCCTTTAGCAAGTCACATATTGTTCACCAACCCCCCAAGGAATGGAAGAACGGGGTAGTGGAGATCGATCCTTTAAGCATCCCGGCTATTAAGGAGTCTGGATGGTCACCAGATATGGACGAGCTCGCCCGTCAGCCAAGACATGGCCCTAATTACAACCAACTCCTGCATCTCCTCAACGACATGCAGAACCATAGTGCAGCGTGGCCCTTTGCTCAGCCTGTCAACCGGGATGAAGTGCCTGATTATTATGAGGTCATCACAGAGCCCATGGATCTTTCAACAATGGAAGAGAAGCATGAAAAGGACATGTACCCTACTCCGCAGGACTTCATCAAGGATGCAAAGTTGATATTTGACAACTGCCGCAAATACAACAACGAGAGCACGCCCTATGCGAAGAGTGCGAATAAACTGGAAAAGTTCATGTGGCAACAGATCAGAAATATCCCAGAGTGGTCGGTACGTATAGTAACCCCAGTCCTTCTCCGAACAACAAACGTAAAATTATACTAACGTAGCCTAGCATCTGGCTGATTGATCCTACCGACACCTTGACGACTAATGTATGGAGTAAACTTATAAGCGACTTGCATCCCTGATTTAATGGAGTTTTTTGGGGGGTGGGCAGCGTGGGACCGGAGTAGGAAGGCATGATTTATTATGAGCGACAGATATTGGGCTTTCTTTTTCTACCTAAGTACGGAGCAAATAACGCCTACCAATTTTCTCGAGTCCATGGGCTCCAACAATACCCCCTTGTCATACTTGTCACACTATCACTCTTTATCTTCCCCATGTAACTTCTGTAACTGCTCGCTGAAGGTTCACCTCATCCATGGTTCTTTTCTTTTTCTCCGGTTTGCCCCTGACTGGCCCGAGCGTTAAAATTTTAGCTGGGCGGAAGAAAGATAATGCGAGATTGCCCAATCAGGACATCCACCTCCTTTAAGCCACAGCAAATCTCCTGATACTCACCGGCTTCCGCTGCTTCACTGTGCAAGGACATGCTTGTCTGCTCTAACTAAGGAGGGTGGCTGTTCTTCTTTCTCTTCGCAGGCTGCCTCTCTTTTCTGGCCTCTTTCTTGCGCCTCCTGAGCCTGAGCAGTCTCCCCTCTTGTCCTGTGCTTGCTATTTTTCACCGCTGGCAGCCGGTGTGTTTCTTATCACAGACACTGCGAACTCATATTCGCTTAAGACACCTATCTTGCACAGGCTCACACCCTAACTGGAGATATCCAGCCAGTTCTACTCCGTTTACTAGGATCCCTTTGACCTGTTCAACACTAGACAATCATGTCGGCGCCATCTCTCCTGGAGAATGAGTACCGCAACAGACTCCCAACCCTGCTGGAAGTCCTGGGGAGACGGACTCTTGCACCTGTCGACCTGTTTTCATTCTACATCTACATGAGAGACCAGCAATGCTCTGTGGACTATCTCGATTTCTGGTATGTTTCTTGTTTTGTTATTCTGCTTTGTTGACTCTGCGATGCGAGCGATGGCACTAATGACTACTCGAACCGTGGCAGGCTTGATGTCTCCCAGCACATGTCTCTGTGTCGTCACTACGTACGTGAACTACGCCGCTCTGTCCTCCTCGAGACCCCAGAACCCGAGAAATTCGATAGCCGGCCTTCTACTGCTTCCCAGCGACACCGGGATGCCCTCCCAGGCGACGGAGATTTCGCAAATGGTGCCACCAATGGACGTAGCCATGGCAACGGTGAACTTGAGGACTCTGACCAGCGACTGTCGGCTTTCCTGCGCTCTGAGGGCCCGGCTTCCATCAGAAACAGCGAGGAGTCTGAATATTCGAGAAGACAAGGCACTTTTCCTGGCCACGATCGACGCGTCAGTAATGCGTTGAACGGCAACCCTTATGCCAATGGGAATGGCAACGGCAACGGCAACGAGACAAGCTCTCCAGGCCATACAGTTACTCGCTCAGATATCCGTGCAAGTGCTGTCAGGATCCTCTACACTTACCTGCTTCCTGGTTCTGAGCGCGAGGTTGTTCTACCAGACAGTATCGTCAATGATATTGTTCATATGATAGAGGAAGAAGGCAGGGATGACCCCGAAGTCTTTGATACTGCAAAGGACTACGTCTTCCAGGCCATGGAGAGAGATGCTTTCCCTGGCTTCCTTCAGGCTAAGGCACTCGGCAACTTGGTCCCACCTAGCATCCTTGCTCGTCTAGTCATTGCTCTCGTCAGCTTTGGTGCCGGATTCTGGGCTGGATTCTTTGTTATCTTGACTGATACCCCGCGAAACACTCGTTGCTGGGTACGTTTCATTGACGTTCATATTCCATGATAAATTTTGTTTACTAATTTTCTTTTTTATTTTCTAGGTAATCCTTCCATTTTCGATTGCTGCATACTTCCTTTCATCCTACCAGTACAAGATTGATCCAATTCTTGCGCTCGCCGGATTAAGCGAGTATACATTCATGAACTGGACACGCATCCGAGAACCATACGTCCGCGCTCTCCTCATCAAGCGAGCCTCAGTCTCCTTACTTCTTGCTGTAGTCATTGCTCTTGCGCTTTGTCTGCTCTTCATCCTTGTTCCAGGAACCCGTCTGTAAAGGCATGATTGACTCTCGATCCTCTCTGTTGGCGTATCTGCCTTGCCTTTCCTTGATATCTTTCCTCCGGCTACGGCGTTCCTGTGGTAACCTTTCGTGATTTCCTAAACTCACGGAGGTACAACGGTCCTTGTTTTCCCCTTTCATCTATTATTGTCCTGTCGCCAGTTTCATTTGTGTTTGTTTCTCCTCTCCAGCATCGGCGCAAGGTATGGTGTTTCCGTAGCGTTTACGTTTTTATGATATCTCATGTTGCCACAACAGCAGCAAAATACTCTTTTCTATCTGGGTGGTTGATGATTTGATTTTAAATATCTGCTCAGCTTACCCCAGTATCATTAACTTCATCCGAGCTCCTCTGAGATACCCTTAATAATGCCCCCAACCTCTGACTCTTTTTCTCTTTCCGTCTCCTATTTCCTACGTTCTCCTTTTTCATGCCTCCAAAATCGCTTTGTTGCTCTTTTATTTCCTTCTTATTCGCTCTCTCTTTCTATTATCCTCTTCTTTTTCTTTCGTGCATCTATATTTTTATGACTTGTTCGATTTTATCGTCTCTGCCTTTTACATAATGTTTATATTCTATAGTTACATGCTGGGATCCAAAGTATTTGTTGTCATTCTTTCTATTTCTCGTGTATAACAGTGTATACCGGTATCATCAAATGGCTTGTTTCGGAATACGTTCATCTAGCAAACGTTCTGTGCCTCAAGCTTAACTTTCATTGACCTCGGAAGGGTTGAGGGGTCTACTTCCATGCTATCCTGGCCATTCCCCGAATAACCTCCTGTAGCATGGAACTCACGCTTATTTCCCTTTGAAGAACTGCCACCCCCAAAGAGCCGTCTTGCAGCATTAGCCGCGGTCCCGCCAAGCGAGCCCTCTTTGCTAAGGGACTTTCGAGGTCGCGATTCTTTTGAGCCACTCCCTCCCTCGCCTTCTTTATCATCATCTCCATGCCAACCCCCTTCACTCTTTTCAAAACGATAGGCTCGGTCCTTCTCCATTGCCCGCCTTTTGGCTGCATCGGCTTTTATTGTGTTAATCTCGGCCTCAATGCCTTCAACCGCCTTCTGACATCGCTCATGCCACTCTGTAAGGATTGATATCATCCCATCGATTGCTTGGGGACGAACGTCGCGGAGAGAGGCCACAGAAATAACATTGATGGTTGGAGGTGTCGTTGTTGGGGATAGGCGAGCAGTGATGAGAGATGAGTATATGGCTTTTGTCACGAGAGATTCAAGCTCCACATGATCTTTTAGGGAAAGAGATTTCATCACAATGGGATATGTGAGCGGATTATGTGTTGTAGAGAGGGTGAGGAGAGATAGAAGTCGGAGTTTGAGTGCTTGGGCTTCGCTGAGGGCGGGGAGATTTGGGGTTGCTTGAGACTGTTAGCAGGCGTTTATACTATGGAAGCATGAACGCTTATGTATCATTTATTCAGAAAAATCTCACCATGGTATTCTTCCCATGAGCCCCAAGCAAATATCTCCAGTAATTTCAAATAAGACTGGTATTCCTCTGGTGTATCTGGGAGTGCCAACGATTGAACTGCTTGGGTCTCGAGCAACTCGGCGAAGATGAAGGTATTCGGGGCAGACGTAGCATTTGTAATGATGTTAGCAATGAAACGCGCGCTGTGAGTAGTTGATGAATTCGCGAGATGAATAAACGGCTGCAATGCTCCCAGCGCCTGCTTCTGTGACTGATCCATAGGTGGTTTAAAATAGCGTATAGATTGATAGTAAATATCAGCCCGCCAGAAGTAGACGCACAGCTTTTGATGCGTGTGCTAGTTACTGCCAGAAACACGGATATATCACGCTCGCAGTCACCAGGAAATCTGCTGTTCGTTCCCTATCAAGTGAAGCAGTTCAGGTTGTTGTTAATGCTCGTCTTTCTTTCGGTTTTTATGAAGTCACGGCGGGAGCTCTGTATGTATCACGTGAAATATCGGTCTCCGTGGACCCACTTTGACTAATCTGAGTCGCTGGAATTTGCCTCTATTTCCGCCTCTAATTGGCCATAAATAAGCATTTATTGACCAATTGGAATCCGAAATTCGATGTGAATTCTAATGATATCGATGTTGAGCACATCTTTCTATAGCGTGCATTCTCTTCGTTTAAGCATCGAGTCCTACCCTTCAAGTCTTCAAAAAATGGCCCAGTGGAAACATGGGGAGCTAGGCACTCCGTGGGTTGGGCCCCACCGGTTGTGTCCCGGGTCTATCGGGATATCATGGCTGTACGGAGTATAGGGAGTTGGAACGAAGTATTATACTCTATTTGGGGCATGAAGGATGGCGCTATCCCCATTATTATCCTAAGAGATTCTCTATCCGAGCAGTTGTAATTGTCTCTTATCCTCGTTATCAATCCTCGGACTCTGTAGGAATCGTATTTTCGGCGTTTACTAATAGTTAAATGGATAAAACGTCCGGTGCCGATCAAACAGCGCTTCACCTTGAGCAGTGATATTTTAAACGTTGTGGACCCATCGAGACAGCCAAAGGTCAAATAACAGGCGACGTTGGCATGGCTGCAGAGTAGTGCGAGGGAAGCAAAGTCCCTCAGAGCAGTTCCCATCTGACAGCCACCCAAGGATCTCCGGTCAGAGTGCATTCTGTCCCAACTCTGTTCCTCGTATCACTCCCTACACGGCTCGCAGTGAAGGAATTGCCTGAGCTGCCTCGACGGTGCCCAATCAAGGGCCTGGCTGGGGGTTTACTCGCTGGCTACCCCTGTTCCATGAGTCGTCCTCTATGCTTGCGACTTTGCCTCCTCGGGCGCCGAATTCGAGACGAGGTGAGGGTGGAAGTGTGTGGGATAAGAGACGAGCTGCGGTGACCTGTCACTGTCCTTCGTCCGCCTCTTCCAGCTCGCCCGGCGCCATCAACATCATCTCCTCTCTTCTTCTTCTTCCTGGGATCAAGCCTTGAACGTTGTACCGCAGTTCTGCAACTCAGCAGCTAAAAAAAGAAAAGAACAAAGGCAGTCAAAGGCAGTTCCGGATGCTGAGTCAGCAGTCACTCTCGTCATTGTGAATTAAAACTGCGCCGCGCTTCCTCTTTCGCAAGGCCAACCAGCGACTTCACCTTTTTATTTCGGGCGTTTGCTTGTCTTCCTCGCGCCGTCATGACACACTATTTGCATGATATCTGAGGATATTGAGTCGATCCCCTTCTCTCTTCCGCTTCTACAACGCTTACCGGCGTCTCTGGTTGATCCGGACGACCACACTTTCGGCGGTTGGCTGGTCCCATACCTCTAAGTCTCCGTGAACGATCCGGCTGCTTCCTCCGGCCCAACTATTTCAGAATTTCTCCGTATGATCCTGAGCTAGACATCAACCGCGACCCTGCAAATCATGGCGCCATCTATGCCACCCGCGCCAGGCAGCGGTACACCGTCAGCGCCCGCCGAAGCAGCCCATATGGCAACCACCACCATCAAAATTGATGGAATGACGTGCGGCGCTTGTACATCGGCGGTAGAATCGGCATTTCAGGGGGTTGGTGGAGCCGGGGAGGTCTCGGTCAGTTTGATGATGGGAAGAGCGGTGGTACAACACGATCAAGAAGTTCTATCCGCCGAGAAGGTTGCGGAGATAATCGAAGATCGCGGTTTCGATGCTGAGGTTTTGAGCACGGATATACCCAGAAAAGAAAATGGCAAGCCAACAAAGGAGTCTATACCGTCGCAGTGCACGACAACCCTTTCTGTTCAAGGAATGACCTGCGGTGCTTGTACGTCCGCCGTCGAGGGAGGGTTCACTGGCGTCCCAGGAGTCGAATCAGCGACAGTATCTCTACTCTCAGAAAGGGCTGTTGTTGTGCATGACCCCTCGATCATCACGGCGAAACAGGTCGCAGATATTATTGAGGATCGAGGGTTTGATGCAAGCGTCATAGAATCTAAAACCTCCGATCCGGATTCCCCTAGAGCCATGCCATCTGTGAAATCGTCTGCGCAAATGAAGTCTACAGTGTCTATTGAAGGAATGACATGTGGTGCCTGTACCTCTGCCGTAGAGAATGCTGTAGCAGGGCTGCCCGGTCTAATCCGTTTCAACATAAGCCTGCTAGCAGAGCGTGCGGTCATTGTTCATGACCCATCCGTTCTTCCAGCATTGAAAATATCGGATGCTATCGAGGATGCGGGATTTGACGCGCGAATTCTGTTCTCTGAGCCAGACACCTCCATCAATTCAACGTCTTCTACGCCTCTTAACTTCAACGTATACGGGCTTACCGACGCCGCTTCGGCAGCAGCCTTGGAGGACATTCTCCTCAAAACGCCAGGCATTTTGTCTGCTAGCGTCCGGGTCTCAAGTTCACAAGCTTCGGTATCCTTCAATCCATCACAAGTAGGGATCCGGGCTGTAGCCAAAGTGTTCGAGGATGCCGGCTACAATGCTCTACTTAGAGAATCCGACGATAACAACGCCCAGCTTGAGTCCCTCGCAAAGACCAGGGAGATACATGAATGGAGAAAGGCCTTTCTCCTTTCATTATCATTCGCCGTACCAGTCATGTTAATAAGCATGATATTCCCCATGTATCTACACTTCCTTGACTTTGGTAGTGTGGAACTAATTCCTGGATTATTCCTTGGAGATGTCACCTGTATGTTTCTTACAATACCCGTCCAATTCGGCATTGGTCTACGATTTTATCGGGCAGCTTTCAAGTCGCTAAGGCACCGTTCGCCAACCATGGATGTTCTGATCATGCTTAGTACCTCACTCGCCTTTTCTTTCAGTATCTTGGCAATGCTCGTTTCCATGCTGCTATCACCACATAGCAAGCCTAGCACTGTTTTTGAAACTAGCACGATGCTAATCACATTTATCACTCTGGGACGATGGCTGGAAAACCGAGCTAAGGGGCACACCTCACGCGCCCTCTCCCGGCTTATGTCCCTTACCCCTTCGATGGCAACAATCTATGATGATCCTGTTGCTGTGGAGAAGGCTGCAGAGAGTTGGAAGAAATCATGTAACTCCATGTCGGCGGATAAACCCGAGGCAACTTCAGCAGCCATTCACTCGGGCCAAAAAATAATACCTACCGAGCTCATACAAGTTGGCGATATCGTATGCATCCGTCCAGGTGATAAGATAGCCGCTGATGGCGTCGTCATTCGTGGTGAGATGTATGTCGATGAGAGCATGGTGACAGGTGAAGCTATTCCTATTCTCAAAACTACGGGCCACCATGTAATCGCCGGTACAGTCAACGGTACCGGATGGGCAGATTTTCAGGTAACAAGAGCTGGTCGAGATACCCAGTTGAGCCAAATTGTCAAGCTGGTGCAAGAGGCACAGACGAATCGTGCTCCCATACAGAGAATGGCAGATACTGTTGCTGGATATTTTGTTCCCACAATTATTACCCTGGGCTTTGTCACGTTTATCGGATGGATGATACTGAGCCATCTACTTCCTCACCCGCCCAAAATCTTCCTGGTCGAAGGTAGTGGAGGAACGTTGATGGTATGTCTAAAGATCTGTATATCCGTCATTGTCTTCGCGTGCCCTTGTGCGCTCGGTCTCAGCACTCCAACTGCTGTCATGGTTGGAACTGGTGTTGGGGCTGAACATGGTATCTTAGTCAAGGGTGGCGCAGCGCTGGAAGCGGCCACAAAAATCAAGCACGTTATATTTGACAAGACTGGAACCGTAACTATGGGGAAATCAAGTGTTGCAGAGGTCAAAATGGAACCTACATGGTCTACAAACGAATGGCGGCGCCAGCTATGGTGGCTTATTGTCGGATTGACCGAAATGACGAGCGAACACCCTATTGGCAAAACCATAGTTTCAAAAGCCAAGTCTGAATCAGGGATATCAGACGATGGGCCCCTTGATGGTGCTGTGGTTGATTTTGAAGCTATGGTTGGTAAGGGTGTCTCTGCCACGGTTGAGCCTACCTCTGGCCCTGAACGCCAACGATATACAAGCCACATTGGAAACGCGGTTTTTATGCGCTCTAAGGGAATCAAAATTGCAGACTCCGCCGATTCAGATGTTAAAAAACAAAAATCAAAGTCAGAGGCACTGAAGACAGCAACAGTAATCCACGTTGCCATCAATGGCCAATATTCCGGAACACTATGGATACAAGATTCTATCAAGCCTTCTGCGAAAGCCACCATTGCAGCTCTTCACCGCATGGGCCTTACGACCTCCCTCGTAACAGGAGACACTTACAACACTGCACTCGCTGTTGCCAATGAAGTTGGTATCCCATCGGACTCTATCCATGCTTCCGTCAGCCCTCTAGAGAAACAGGCTATTATAAGCAAACTCCAAACCCCTAAACACCCTATTGCTATGGTTGGGGACGGCATCAACGACTCGCCTGCTCTGGCTACTGCCTCGGTTGGAATCGCTCTCTCGTCCGGTACAGAAGTTGCCATGGAAGCAGCCGACATTGTGCTTATGCGGCCAGAGGATCTACTTTCAGTACCCGCAAGTCTCTGTCTGTCAAGGTCCATCTTCAACCGTATCAAGCTCAACCTTCTTTGGGCCTGCATTTACAATGCTATCGGTATACCATTCGCAATGGGGCTTTTCTTGCCTTTCGGTGGTGTGTCTCTCCATCCCATGGCTGCTGGTGCAGCTATGGCAGCTTCGAGTGTTAGCGTGGTGTTTAGCAGCTTGCTCTTAAAGTTCTGGAGACGACCTAGCTGGCTTAAGATTGAACGCTTGGAGAGAGAGGTTGATGAGGGTTTGATAGATTCCACTGGCCAGGCGTACGGGAAAGTAGGGAAGTGGTGGAAGAAATCTCCTTTCGCATTTCCGGTATCCCCTGCTGAGAATAATTTGGCCGGTGCCTTCCGATTTATATCGCGAGCTTTTGGAAGACGAAGCACACCCACTGAAGAGGACGGCTACGTACCCCTCCAAACGGTGGACAACGGGTTGTGATATCCCCTCGGTTCTTGGGGCTTCTGCGTTCTAGCTTGTCTTGATTTCTTTTTGCATCTTGTTGGTTTGCATATATTTGCGTATACGTATTTCCGTTTAGCCTAACGACTCGTCCTAGCCATGCCTGAACATAGTTCTATAAACCAAACATTATTCACTTCTGCCCGGTTGTCAGTTGGTTCCATAGCATATAGCCCAGGACTTGGATACTGCACTGCCTGGTCTCGGGTGTTTGCCAAACCCGTATCTCTTGTCTGATTACCTGTAGCTTCATAACCAATCCTTTGAGGCTATGTCGACTGTTCAACTGCTCATAACTTCAAATCAACGAACCGTATAGATTCTTTGTCAAAAACGGATGGGAATAAGTTCAACTCCTGAGAGTGAATGTAAAGGGGGATTGGTTACTAGCAGCACCGCGAGTAAGTGAATATTTGAATCGACAATAAACTCGGTGCAGCTGTTGTCTATTTAGTGCTTATTTGGATTAACTAACGAGTTATTGAAATAGTTGTTCAACAAACAACTAACTACAGCCCTTCTTCATACAAATCAGATCAGGTCCAAAATAGAATTTTGTTTAGCTGCCATGTCTCCTGAGAATTATCCCTGGCCCTGTCGAGACATCTTCGCCCCGAACTTTGGGAGTGACTCCGGGCTACACGGTTGGGATACGCCTGATGACAGCCCCAAAAATGTTATATCCGGCCATTCCGCAGCCCCGTATAGTACTCACTATGGAAACATTTCGAGAAGCTCTCCTGGCGGTTCACATCGTGATTTTGATACTTTCCTTCGTATCAACCACGCGGTCCACAGCCACACAGACTAGCATGGGGGATGCTGCGGGCAAGGCTAGATGTCCCTTAGCATCGCTACGGAGATCATGGATATATATGATACCCAGGAGGAGAGGGCTAGCTATATGTATGGCAATCTCCCCTCTTTCCTGCATATACATTCTCTATTGTTATTACAAATATCCAAGTTCAAGCAAGATGCTGATTTCAAGCGCAAGCCATCTTTTGTCACTCGCCATCCTCTCCCTTCCGGCCACAGCTGGATATCTGCAGCAAGATGTTGCTTCTTTTCCCCCAGTGAACCTGGGATATGCCACCCATGTTCCGACATACATCAATGTGACCTCCAACGGCCTCAAGCATGCAAACTACAACAACATCCGGTTTGCTCAGCCTCCTGTCGGAGCCTTGAGATTCAGGCGCCCGAAAACTCCTCCACTAAGAGAACATGGGGTCAAGAACGGTTCTGCTCCCATGTTTGCAACGGACTGTGTAAGCGCCATTCCCAACATATTTCCACCACAGGGCCTCCCATCAAGGTCGTGGGGACAGGAGGACTGCTTGTTCCTCAACGTCAGGGTTCCTGAGGGAGTTAAGGAGGGTGATAATGTTCCAGTGGTTCACTGGATACACGGCAGTGGATATGCCTACGGAAGCAAAGACCTCCACAGGATCAGTGGAGATGGAAGCGGTCTTTTCGAGGACATGGACCGCGCGTCCCAGAAGTTCATTTACGTTGCAAGTAACTACAGGTATGTTGGTTATAATCTTCAATGGCTATGGGTTCTAATTCACTTTCCTAGAATGGGGCTATACGGCTGGAGTTCCTCTCCTTTCGAAGATACAGACGCCAATGTCGGCCTGCATGATACCCTAGCAGCATTGCAATGGACCCGTAAATACGTATCAAAGTTCGGTGGTGATCCGCGAAGAATCACAGCGTTCGGAGAGAGTGCCGGTGCCGGGATGCTTGATCTTTTACTTATTGCCAAAGACGGTAAAGAGGATCTTCCCTTCAATAAGGTACTTTTTGGTAGAAATATATATATATATATATATATGAACATTCGGCTAAATTAAGGCACAGGCATTCATCGCATCCCCAGCCATCTGGCCGCGCAAAGATCCAAGTCGTCGACAGGCGGTTTTCGACTCTGTTCTCAAAGCATCGAACTGTGATTCTGCTGACTGCCTGAGGAATCTGTCCGAGGAGGACCTATTCAAAGCAAACGAATACCTCCTTGTCAATGTAACAGACGGCAAGACTGGTGCCTTAGGCCCAGGTCCTGGATTTACACCCGTCGTGGACGGTGAATATATCACTGATCTTGTTTTGACCGTCTTAGAGAGAGGAGGCTATAACAAGAGAGTTTCACGAGTTGCCGCTAGCAATATGGCCCTTGAGGGTCTAGGGCAGGCACCGCCAGACCATATGCCAGAGATATTCCCTTATCTAGTTCGTGGAACAATACCTCATGCATCTGACGAGACGATCCAGAAGATACAGTCACTCTATACGTACCCTGCAGATCTCCCTGCTAAACTTGGCTGGGATTGGGTGACTGATATAACATACGCCTGCAACGCTTATTATACCGCAAAAGCATATGCACCCAAGGCTCAGAGATATGTCATGTCAGTTCCACCAGCAATACATGCACTAGACCAAAGCTGTGAGTGTTCCTTTCATCCAAATACGCCGGGGCCAGTAACTAATCCAATATTGATTAGATTATTTTTATCAAGATAATACCACCACTCCGGTCACTAATGTTAACCTCGCAAGGGAATTCCAGGAACATATGCGGCGATATATTACCGGCGGAAAGAATTTAAGAAAATTTACTAATCTTATAGACTTCCCGACATATGGGCATGATGAATCTATCTTCAACGTTACCCTTGACGGATGGAAAAAGGAAAAAGATCCGTGGGAAGTTGATCGTCGGTGCCAGGTTTTGCATGACATATTTGCTGATCCAAATAACGGTGCTTGATAGCCTGAATATAAAATGAACTAGTGTTGCTTGAGCTGGGATATGGTCAATATATATACTTTTTTTTTCGCTCAATTTAACAAAATTCCCTCCTAAGTTTCATTTCAAAGGAAAGTGTCTAAATGTTCACTTCGCAGTCACTGCCGGATAAGTTGCAGATATAAATAGAAAGGGAGTATTTGATTAGGGCTAAAGTCTCAAGTGAGTATCGCTCCCACTAATCCAGAGTACTTTTCCATGAAAAACAAATAGATTCACCGCTAGCAGAGTTTGGAAATGACATATTAAGCAATCACCCAGGGGAGAACGTGCCCGGGAAAAAATAGAAAATAATCATAAGAAAGAACATAGGGATTGCGACATCAAAAGCTTGATCAAAGAAACAGATATATATATATGGGGGTATATAGAAGATAAAAAAAGATTCTCTGCGGAGATACAGGGACAGGGTGGAATATGCCGGGGGTGACAATATCTTTAGTTGTAAGGTATAAAGTTTTCACGGTACATAGAACGGTCATCTCGATTACATTCTATGCTTTGCCCTTTGCCGCCGCTTGTGGTGGTGGTGGGAAGTACATCTGCGCTTCAGGTTGCTCCGGTTGCTTAAACATTCCATGGGTCTCTTCCTCATGTGGCATCGTTGAATAGCTATTGGACCGGTCGCGCAGGGGCAGGTCCGAGTTCCCCTCAAGTTTATTAAAAGCGGTGGTTCGTGGTGTTGTGAGCGGGAATGTCATCTTCCCATCTGGATTGAGTGGTGATTTCATCGATTTGAGTTCTGCCAGAGTCGACTTTCGTTCTTCCTTTATTCTCTTCTTTTCGCGGTCTTCTTCGGTTGGGAAGCAGGAAACTGCGGCCAAGATAAGTTGGCAGGTGAAAATGAATCTACATAAAATGAGATCACGTTAGTTAATCGGGTAGAATGCGAGATATAAGTAAGAGAATAACAAACATCATGACAATCATGACGGCAAATGTCGCTTTAGCTTGTTTACAGTAATTGACGTTTGTATGAAGCGATGCCACATTGCAGTTCTTCGTAATGTACCATGGGGGTCCGTTTTGCGGATGTTTGGGGTCGGTCGTGTCGCTTGCAGCTTGGAAGGCGGCAGCTATTGAATAGAGCAAGACACAAATACCGTGAACTAGTATCGAAAGCGGCGGGTAGAATACGTGCATCACAAACATGGGCGTTTTCGTGAGCAAGAAGAATAAACTGAGCACAGTGATGACGAGGTTGAAATTGGTAGTACTTTTGAGTATTAACGGAAAAATGTTAGTACATGAATTTATCGGGTGATATTCTCCATATGTACGTACAAGGGGTTCCATGGCCTGGGGATGGTGTACGGTCTGTAGTTGGCAAGAGCATATACTTTTTCGTCCGGAGAGCTGTTGAAGCCGTTATCTGCTCCATCTTGCCAGAGCTTTGTTCGATACAGGTCAGGAGCCGCAATACCAGTAAGCGTTAAAATCCCGATGGACAGAGGAAGTTCGCAGGCCACAAGTATTTTGAACGCTAAGGGGGACCAGTATTTTCGAGGCAAGAAACACCCAATTCCACCCATTGTTGTGGTGATTCCCAGGCAGAGCGTGCAATTTTTGCAGACGATTATTAGTCACAGGAGAAAGTGCTGTCAACGACAGAATATAATGCGCGACAGCCTTTAAATAGCTTGTTCTTTCTCAAAGCTGCATCTCTTTGGATGGCCCTGGCAAGTGGCGGAAAGCAGAGAATCCGTTAGCCCAAAAGAGGAGGCTAGCCCGGTGGTATCGACAATGGGAGAAGGTTTTGAAGACTAGTTCTCTCGACGTTATGAGGTGTGAGAGACTTCTTGAGTCTGCGATGCGACAGCTGAAGCGAGACGATGAGGTTGAAAGGAAGAAGATGAGCGGAGGCCGACTTGAGGTCGCGAGATCCCTTTGATGTAAGCGCCCATTCTTCCTGGGCCTGTCCTTCGCTCTTTGGTTGGCTCATGCAGCGGAAGTTGCAAATCCTTGACATACAGTCTTATTGATGTGATGACTGCACCCGGCTCCCACCAATGATGATGCTCGAACCGGGGTTTCCTGCGCCCTCATCACACGCTAGCAAAGCGATGTGATTGAAACCTTGCATCTGGGGCCGAACGAGGGTTATTTCCCCACCTCAAAGCACCGCCCGGCGCTAAGACGAGAGGCCCAGAGCAGGCACATCAACCCATTTATTAGATGTTGGTTTCTGTCATCTTCTTCGGCTGTCTCTTGACATTCACGTCGTTTGTTGTCCAAAGTAACTTGAAAGTATACTTTGGTCTAAAAATAGCTAAATGGGTATTAAAGTTAATCCACTCCGGTTAAGTTCAAAGTCTTATGTAATCAAAACTTCGGGCCGAATTGAGGCGAAACCTTAAGGCTACCTACCTACTAATAACTACCTACCCCAGTTCGATAAGCTCAGTCTATTAGCACATGCTCACGATGGAGTATATGCATTGTCGTTCTTATTCCTGTCCAGCGGCATGATACTTTTGCGAACCTGCTTCTCAAGGTATTTTGCTGCCTATTATTGTACCTATAGAAGCTATACCACCATGTCGGCTCAAGGCAGTAAACCACACGAGCTTCGGACAGCAACAGAGCCTCGACAGAACTCTTTTTATAAGCTGAGGGTGTCCCATATATACCAGGTCAACCCAACCATTCGACTTATCCGGTTCAATATTTTTTGCGGCTGTACCTCACTTGATTGGTCTAAAGATAATTCAGAGAACGTATGCGGCCCTACTACGAAACTTACCGAAATACCTGCCTTACGAGTTTCTGTCAACGTTTCCCATTTGCAGTAAATATGAGAAATACGTATATCTAGATACGTATATCTAGGAGCTCGGATAACCGTACTGACCTTTAATATACATCTAGTTGACGTATAACCTGCAGCCGCCGTTGGAATTTTCACCCGGCCAGTGGCTTGACGTTCATATACCAAACATTGAACATGCTGGGGGTTTTACAATAACATCCACTCCCCAGGATGCTTCTACTCAAGAAAACATTGATATAGCTGCAGATGGAAATGATAAACATCTGCCATATGTTGAACTAGCTATCCAATATTCACCTAGTAACCCAGCTGCTAAGTGGTTTTGGCAGCCTATAGAGCAAATATTGGGTTCCTATGTCAAAGTTAGGATCGGTGGCGGGTTTGTATGGCCGCCACCGAATGGTATGGCATTAGATGAGATCAAGAACATCGTGTTTGTGGCTGGTGGCGTTGGTATCAAGTGCGACCCCTTTACTACCTCCTTCCTTCGACTCAAGAAGATTCCGGCTAGGCTTTGTCAAATATGAATAGTCTTGTCGCAGAACTTTTGACTAACGTATTTTATCAGCCCACTCATATCAATGATTTCCTATATCCACCGGACGAGATCTTGCCTACTGCCATCTGCAAGGCTTCATCTACTATATTCGACTAGAATCCCTTCGTCGTCCACTCCTATTAACATGGCAGGGCCGAGTGAAGCCGTGAATGCTTTGGCCACCGATAGGCTATCTAAAATTTTATTTTTAGACCGTCTTCAGCAAATCAGTCGCGACTGGAACCGAGCGAAAGATAATACCAATTCCCTCGACTTGCAACTGTTCCTCACAAACTCATACCTGGAAAATAGAGGTGGTAATAAAGTTAATTTTCAATCCAGTATACTAGATACAGACAACCATATAACAGTTCATTCCCGACGCATTGAAGCAGGCGATCTACACAAAGCTGTGGGCGGAAGTGATGAGCTAAGGAGTGGTACGATATGCTACGTTTGTGGTCCACCGGTAATGACTGATGAGCTCGTTAAGGAATTGGAGACTTTCATTGGCAGCGAAGACGACAAAACAAGGAAAAGAGTGTTATATGAAAAGTGGTGGTAATTAAGCTCAAGGTATGAATCCAACATCGACGCAGGATATACATATTTTAAATATTAGAATGAGTCAATTCACAATTGCACCATACGAGCACAGATATCAACATGGCTACCTTGATTAAACACGTCTACTGAGCATAAAGCAGTAATATTAACTTCTAAACAAGTAACATCATCATTGGCGTGATCCCATACCCCCAAGGCACCGAGCAATAATCCCAACCAACAGACAATAGTATAACAAGTTCCCCGCGCTCACAAAAACTCGAAAGGGAATTTATATATAATAACACATAAAAAACGCAGAATATATGTATCAGAAGCCGAAAGTGTTGCTGATAAATAAAAATTTTAACGACGAGAGGTCTGATAGAGAAAGGAGGAAAGTTAAGGAGGGAAGATATCATACCAACCACGAACAAAAGACCAGGTTGGGATTGGGGGTTAGTTGGCTGGTCCTACCGCTCTGCCAGCATCGACTAGCATAGCTTCATCGATTCGTTCTTTGGTGTTCCCCCATTCAAGCCGCTTGTATGACATGATCCTGGCTTCATTCATATCAATATCGAAGAACCTGATGCGACGAATATAATCATTGTATCCGCCATATCCGCCAAAACCAGCACCACCACCGTAGCACATCCATAATGCTGGTTTTCCATTTTTATCCTTCTCAAGCATACAATAGTCATTTACATGGTCACTAAAATGAATGGTTAATGTGAGTTTCCAAGAGCGATGTCTTCAAACTACGCTGTTGAAAGGGTTAGGTTTTGCTTACTGTCCACAGCTGACAAGTACCACATTCTCCTCTACTAATGCGTCTTTAAAGCCAGAATTATAAGTAGGCGCAGTTGGCGGCTCAGTCCAGTTTCCGGTAAAGAAATTGGCAGTATTTCGATATTCCGGCAATGGTATATGAATGAATGCCAAGTTCATGTGGATGTGCGTGTATTTTTTATGCGCAGTTCGAAGTCCCTCGGCGGTTGACTTGAACCACTTTATCTGACTTGGCTTCAGCCAATCGTATCCCGGGTACTTTCTCTCATCTGGGGTATATTTATGGGTATCCACGAGATAAAGTGTCAAGGCTGATGCAGAAGACGACCCTTTTCCGAGGACTTCCACGATATAGTTGCCAACGCCGTCTACTTCTTCAGGTCCCGGCTTAGAAAGGCTATAAGGCAGACGTTGCATAAGGTCCATCTGTGTGCGGCGATCCAGGTTTCCTTCATCGTCATGATTTCCAAAAATAGCAGCATAAGGGATTTTATGTTTGATGAATAGATCAGCAAATTTGTAAATTGCTGTTTCAGTATCCGGCGCGGTATCACCGTTTACCTGATCGCCACTCAGAATTATCAGGTCTGGCTTTTCTTCATCCAGTAGCCTATCAATAAATTCCAAAGTCCGGGGATCCGCCTCGCATTTATCCTCATCAGTCTTTGGAATAGGATCCCGACAATGTCCAAGCCCTGTAGCCAGATGTAGATCTGCCGCTTGCATAATTTTGAACTTTCCATCCTTCCGAATTCGTGGAACTGGTGGTTCAATCTTTCTGGCTTGTCCTCGCCGTACAGTCAGCCTTGCTTCGCTCTTAGAGTCTAGCATGAGAGGGATGTCTTTTAATTCCCAATTAGGCCGAGGGTCGACAGCGTCGGGGCCAAACAGAACATCGACTGACGTTATCGATTTTTGCGAGTCGGTAGAATGTGGTAGCCTGAGTATCCAAATGCCTCCAGGTCGTGATTCCCATTTTTTATCAGTTCCGGCACCGGGGTCCAGTCGGCCCATTTTCACATCAACAACAATTTTATCTGTGGGAAGAATCTCATCCCCTTTCTTCCGCTGTATATGCAGATACGCCTTCGAAGTCCACCCTTGACCAAGGTACAGGTCTTTTTCTATACGATGCCATACTTTAGGATCGAGTGTGCAGCTTGAAAAGACATTTAAGGCAGAGCAGGTGGTGACCGTCAGTTCAGTAACAACAAGGCCCGGGTGATGGGACGGCAAATGGTCATGTATTGACGCTGGAAGGACCCGTATCTGGCTATCGAGAATGACAACAAAGACAACAACGGTGACTGTTAATATGCCGAGCTGGATGATCGTTCGGATCTATAATACACTCTTAGTTAACTGAACTAAAAACTGGCAAGTCTTCAAGCCAAGGGAGGTAAGTGTTTACGATTCGGCGGTTCATCTTTCCTGCGGCACCCTTTCTGTATCTTGAAGCGGTTCTAGGGGGCGATCAAAAAAATATCTAGCTCGTCAGCGCTTCATGAAGGGTTTGTGTAAGCAGAGGAAATGCGAAGAGCGTGTTCATTATGTGAATCCCAGCAGGGGAAAAAGCAAAGTATCAGAAATTCATCCCTAGGCTGATTGCATAGTTGACTGATTATTCTCGTCGCCAGGTTTCTTCCGAACAGCTACCTATCAAGGGGAAATTGATCACGGTCCATGGATGGATGACGGCACTTCGGAACGGCGCTATTATTAGCCGGGTAACTCTAATTCCGGTCCAGTCTAGAACTAACTTAACTATTGGAAGGTTTATTTCTTGAGCTTCGTGAGCTTTAGAGAAGCATTTCATTAAAATCTCTACCTCGAAAAGATACAATATAAAACAAAAAAATAAAGACAAAAATTAGCATTGATGGCATCTGTTGCACATTTTTCTCGTCGCTTATTTACAACCTCGAGATCTCCTCTGTTAAGTCATGCGCGGCCACTTAAAACCAACTTTGGGATTTTTCAAGGTACTCAATTTTATGTCCTGGACGATATGTACTTTCTATATGCTAACTGTGGTCTTACAGAGGGTGATAGGGTAGTATTAAACACGACGAAGGGCGTCACCCTGACGAAACCGCTTAAGAAAGACCAAAAAATCGACGTACGCGGTGGGTATATCGAGCATAACCACATCATTGGTAAAGGCGCCAGAGATGTTGTACGGACACATAACGGTATAGGTTCAATCAATTGTTTGTCAGCAGAATGTAGTCTGGCTTGGAATGCTAACAACTATCGATATCTATAGGTCGTGGTGATTTCCGAATAACTCAACCAACCCTCGACGAATATGTATCCCTCACCCGACGACTTGTCACTCCGGTAAAGCTCCCTCCGAAAGAAAGTCGTCATTTGCATCTATTTGGAGGTTTACGTATAACTGATGAACGCCACTAGTAGGTATATGCGGCGGATGCGAACTTAATAGTTTCGCTCCTGGATATCCACACACAACCTCCATCCGGAGACGAACAACATGGTGAACCTCTAGAGATTCTAGAGGCTGGGACAGGTCATGGTTCTCTGACGCTACATCTTGCAAGAGCTATAAATGGAGCAAACACTTGCCCGCCGCCCATCCCACAAGCTACACAACGGACAATTCTGGACCCACAGAGTCAAGCTCAGGACACAGCCGAAGTAACAGAGGAGGAGAATATCAAGCAGAAAGACTGGGATACATGGAGGACTAAACGCAATGCGATTCTTCACACAGTCGAGATTTCACCCAAGGTGTCCGCTCATGCCGAGAAAGTGGTCCGGGGTTTTAGACGAGGCATTTACACAGGGAGTGTAGATTTTTACGTTTCTAGCGCAGAGGGTTGGATTCAGCACCAGATTGAAAGCCGAAGCTCGAAACTTCCCCCCGGAGAAAAGCTAAAGCCATTCCTATCATACGCACTACTAGACATGCCATCAGCAGAAAAGCGCATTCCTGAAGTTGCGCGTGTTCTTAAGACTGATGGAGTACTGGCAGTTTTTACACCAAGTATCACCCAAATTGGGGACTGCGTTCAACTAATTAAAGACCAGCATCTACCTCTTGTCTTAACAAAGTCAGTGGAACTTGGAATGGGGATCAGTGGCGGGAGACTTTGGGATGTTCGGCCTGCAGTTATAAGGGCAAGCTTGAAAAATCGGGATGATGCAGAAGAGCCGACGAATGAGGAGCTAGACAGCCTGGTTGATACTTCAGCTGCTAACAACCAAACGCACTACGCAAAAGAAGAAGATGGCAGCTTCCAGTCATCACAAGAGAGTGGGCTTGGAGGAGAGAACCAGTCCGTCAAGCATGTGATGGTTTGCCGGCCCAAAGTTGGAGAGAGAATTGTGGGCGGCGGCTTTGTTGGAATATGGAGAATGGGAAAGGCTTGATTACCTTTTTGCATATTATTGTACGTTTATGCTATGTATTACTAGGATTGCTTTTATCTATATGCTGATCAGCCGATTTAGATGTCGCCATGAAAAGGAATGTGCATTCGCGAGTGCAACACTCCAGTGTAGACCCAAGACCGAGGGCCTCGTAAAATGAACCCTACTGCAGGATACCCCTGACATTCAGCCTCAGCCTCGCTCGTTTTGCGCAGAGTATAGGCAAGCTCTTGATATGTAGCCGGGACACCAGGCCATCTTTAACTCGTCCTTTTGGAGAGAGGCATATTTATTATAGTCCCATTTCTCAGCTAATGGTCGAAGCCACCTAACTCGTTAACTGGATAGCAGCGTACCTAGCATGTTTCCACGGGCTGGCAAAGTTAAAGATGGCAAAAGAGCTAGTTGGTTTGAACGGCTCAGGGGCAGCTCGCAATCCAAACTGCAGCACCGGCGACAGCAGCTCGCGCCCCTCGAACCACGACCAAACATGTCTGATATTACAAGCATAAGCCTAGAGGAAATGTGCAAAGTATGCTACAACCTCGACCCGAGCCAGGCTCCAGGAAGTGGGCCGCCAGTCAAGAATGGCCCCTCGTTGTTTTCGTGGGCTACTCGGGAGTACAATTTACCTGCATGATCGCCAGTTGCCAAAATAACTATAGATAAGTCGCAAATTTTACTCGACTCTGTCCAGGGCTGCTTTTCTGCTCCATGATCTTTATGGCCCTCTCGACGGCGCAGCCTGGATGGGAGGCCGAAGACACAGTCATTTGCATCAATCTAGCGCCAAACGTGCCTCCGAATATGCAATATGTGCAATTGCAGTATGGCCATTATGGCACTTCCAGGAGCGATGCCATGCCATTTGAGGCTCCTACGCACTTCGAATATGTCATCCACCCTAGGATGCGAAAGCCAACAACAGAGGTATAAATATACCGACCTCGTCTGTATGGTAGTAGTGGTGAAGCTCCTGACAGAAGTACATGTCTCTCACTCTGAGGACTGATGCATTAGAGAAGCCGCAAATTCTGACTGGTTTTGGGACTAGGGAAGCTCATTTCTAGCCTTCTAGAGCCTATGGGCTTCGGTGATGCGAGAGCATCCCATACTGGTGATGACACTTGCGTTGACTTCATCGAAGAAGAAAATTGCATCATAAAGCATAATTGCTGAGGGAATGGCGGACATTTGATACTGCCATTGCTCCCTGATCGCATCTTCTAGATCCAAGGAGGACACACAAGGACTATTCCGCTTGTTGAGCCGAAGAATACCCATGCTAAGTTAGGTACCTTGCTTTAAGCTACTGCTGGGGCCTGGTAACTAAAGTTTGAGTGCCACTGCCATTCTAACTGGGGAGGCCTTGATCAATGTATATCCGGTAATTCTCGGTCCTACAACCTAGAGAAAGTATCCATTGATTCTAGCTAGATCGAGTGGATGAATTCATGCATAGGGGCATAACCTCCGCTTCTGATCGGCTCCCGGCTATTGCACCGGTTATGGAACGCATTGAGAAGCGGAAAGGCTGGATGGTTTTTGGGGTTTATGGAAACACGTCATTGTCGAAGGCCTGGGTTGAAAGGTAGATGATTGTGGTATAGAAGGAAGCCATCCATGTGGAATGGGCCGGGGTACCTGCGCGCCAAGTTGGAGTTGGCTTAGCATAAATGGCCCTATATCCCATAATCTCACGCTCTCTAATAAAGTTTCTCGGGAGATAGTAAAACTTCGGATATACGATCTAGAATGCCACAGGCTTAACGATGCAACGGGATCAATCACAGTTTATGGCTGTTTCGCTACCGGCTGGGTCGAAGCTACGGTAAAGATGGATAAGAAGCACAAAAGCACATTGACTGAGCCCAACAGATTCAACTGTTAATATAGATCGGTGTTTATTGCTGGATATGTTGAAACCGTAGTAAATGCAGATGTGGCACTCATGCATCGCGGAGAACCTTGGGGCGTGTGCAGGTCAGCTGTGCGTGCCCCGGTCGGAGAAGCGCCTTTCGACGCGATCTCGGACCAGCTACTGCATTTACCTTATGGCTGCCACGCGAGAATCATTCGCTATCGCACTGCACCGGGGCCCTCTTTACGGAATTCTAAGCTGTCGAGCGGATCGGGGTAGCTTACGCCGTTAGAAGTAACATGTTTGAAGGAGCCAAAAGGGGTTGCTGTGAAATCGTCTAGTGATCGATTTGATTTTGGGGTATCTGGCTCTGTCTCCAAACATTTTACATACGTGGTCACATCTTTCTTGGAAAGTCAGAAGAAATATCATTTTGCAAATCTCACTAGCATGCACATCGATGTATAAAGGTATGGACCCAAATCTTTTGTAAATTGCCACCCCGATAAACTCTATAACTAGTTAACGAACTATAATTAAGCTAAAATAGCGGCACCTAAATTTAGAAGTAATCTTGTCAATCAGATAAGCATGATGTGGTTTAGCAAAGGCTAGAGTGTTAACTGGCCAGTTCAATTTGTTATTTTGTACTATATCGACATTTCATAATTAATAATTAATAGCTGCATTGTCCATGTATACCCATCTATTGAAAAACGCCATTTAAACACGAGGTATTGACGTGGTCAGTAGCAGCTGCGCCCGGAAAACTATATCGAATCTATCCACGGTCAGCTCATTATAGAATAGAATAGAAAAGTGACGAATCATGACAGAAGGGTATCAATAGATTTCAAAATCGCCTGTCATACTCGACGCAGTACAACCATGCGCAGCACGACTCTAAACAGCCTTATTTCGACTACTCTTGGCTTCTTTCTCCATTTGCAGTCTTTCTTTCCTCGCTCGTTCCTGGGCATCAAGTCCAGTCTTGGTAACTTCGTGTTCCTTGTTGAGCTTCTTTTTCTGTAAAAGCAAACTGACTATAAAACCGATAGCAGCAAGGGCGGTATAGAATATCCACATGGTGCTCAAACTTTTGGTATACGCGTCGAGAACTGGTTGCTTTTCGTCTGGCGGGAGAGCCTGGATGATATGGACCGAAGCTCCAGCAGAGACTCCCTGCAGAGCTTCTAAAGACTTGGGGCTGAGGAGGTGTTGGATCTCCAGAATGTTACTCTGGAGTCTGTTCTGGATTATGACACCTCCGATGACAACGGAGATACTGCTAGCAAGATTTCTGCAGAAGGCTATGGAAGCTGTGGCAGTTGCTATGTCACTGGGCCTTATATGGCTCTGAAGAGCGATGATGGGGGCCTGGAAGTTAGGTCCAATACCCATTCCAGCCACTAGTTGATAGAGGATAACTTTGACCAACGATCTGTGTGATGGGAGATTGATATAGAGTCCTGTTCCGAGAACTAGAACGGTCGTTCCAAACCAGATTGGTGGAAGGCAAAGACCGGTCTTGCGAATGAAGACACCGGTGACCGCAGAGACGATAGAAACTGCTATAACGTTTGGAAAGAGGAGTATTCCCGACTTTAGCGGTGTCTCTCCAAGGACGGCTTGAAAATAGAGTGGCAGGAAGAAGCTTCCGCTAGTATAAATGGCTCCATGTATGAGGACCGTTCCATATGCCGCAAGTGTGGACCGCTGGGTAAAGAGCCACAGCGGCATGACTGGATAACGCGAAACCTTCCACTGAATAAGAATAAAAATGCCCCATGTCACTATTCCGAAAACAATCAAGCATATGACTGTTGGGGAAGACCAGAGGTAAGACTCGCCACCATACTCAAGGCCGATAAGGAACATCACCGTACCACCGACGACAGCGAGAGAACCGAGCCAGTCAATGGCACGGAGTCCGGCTAGCAATGGGGTGGTAGGAGTATGGAGCTCCAGGAAGAAGAATATAATCAGAAAAGCAACTCCGTCGATGGGAACTATTTCTACCGTTAGATCCATCATGGAAAACAACCAGTTATGAGCAAAACTTACGGTTTATATAAAAACACCAACGCCAGGTGGTGTACTGGGTCATGAGGCCACCGATGACAGGCCCAATGATGCCTGATATAGCCCATACCATGCCGATGATACCAAAGTACATGCTTCGAGTTCTGTTTACAAGGTTAGCCTATCAAAACCAGCCACTTTCACGAAGCAGAGAACGAACCTCATGCTGAACAAGTCGCTCACACAGATATTCACGAGAGTAAGAAGGCCTCCGCTTCCTATTCCTTGAATCACACGGCTGGCTACCAACATCTTGATATTGATACTCACGCCGCATAGGAGCGAGCCGATCAAGAAGACGACGTTGGCGGCCAGCAAGACAGGCTTCCGGCCGAAGATATCGCTAACTTTCCCCCATGATGGAGTTGATGCTGAGAAAACAAGTCAATATCGAAGCTTGAATCTCTTCCCAGGGGCAACAGTAACATACAAGCAGCACCGAGCAGATATGCAGAGCCCACCCAGGCATAGTCCGCCTGTGATGTGTTAAACTCTCTGGCGATGGTTGGCAGCGCCGTAGTGACGATCGTCTATGGCGTTTCGCATTAACCTATCAGTCCGCAAAGGATGAAAATCAAGACGAAGAAGACTTACTATGTCGAGAGCCGCAAGAAACGTGGCCAACTATATAATAGATAGTCCGATGAGCATGAAGGCTTCGAATATATATAAATAAACCAGCAGAGAAACACAGTGTAACTCACGCAGAGAGCAAGCATGATGAGAGCGACTTTGCCCTTCGACATCTTGACCTCGCCGGAACCAGCTGGTGCTTCTGGAGCCTCTTGAGCTGCTGGGCTATTCTCATCTCGACTGTTTTCTTTCTCTTGATATCGATCTTGAAGCGCTTCTTCTTGCTTCTCGTCTGCCTCTGCTGGACCAGCTGCTTCTACCGCCTCCTTCGCACCGCCAGCAAGCATCTTCGGCGCCTCCATTTTGGTCGAGCAATCTGTGCTCCCTTCGAGAGAGGACGACGAGCTCTTGATCTCTGTTGCTGCTTCATCGTGCCCACCTGTCACCGTCGCCGTCGACTCCATCAAGCCTGCCATGGGGAAAGACGCTCTGCTTCTCGTCTGGCCGCCACCGCTGAATGGGAAAAATAAAGGAGCAGAAAACCAGCAGAGTGGTTTTAAGCGGGTTATATATGTATAAAGAAATATAGAAAAATATCTCAGAGACGAATCATACTGTTATATTTTCGCTATCTTCCACCCGGTTTTCTTTTACATATATATATATAGTTAACCGTATACGAGAAATCGAGAAATTGCTATGGATCTCCCTCTTTTAACCCAACGACCAGAGCTTACCTGCATATTTTGCCTTTACCGATGCCGATAAATCCGATCCATGGAGCAGAAGGGCAAACCAAACCCGAGCCCGAGGCCCAAGGCTGTTGCAGCCAGTCTTCCCTGGCCTGGCTTGAAGGTGGTCACACCGCCAGGACAAGGGCTCTGATGCCCCATATTGGAGCGGCCCGCCGCCCCCAGACTGGCCAGCAGTTAGCTAGCTAGATAGAGAGGGATGTGGAATATGACTCCTAAAATATGTACGGAGCAAAGGGGAAAAAAAAGACGGTTCCAGCTCGGACAGAAGTTACGGCGAGACCCCCTTAGTGCGAAGTTTCGGCCAGTCTATGCCCGTATCCAGTCGAACTAACTTGGGTTGCCAGAAATAACATATATAAAATGGGCAACTATCTATGGAGATCGGTCGGTGGTAAGTAACGAACGTACGACCGGAGCCGAGTTCTTTTTGCCTATAGAAAAGGGTCTCTATAAGATGGCCAGACTGTGAAACATCGATCAAAGTCATTCATTTCTATTCCTTTCTTTTTTTTTGGCACGTCTTGCCTTCTCCTTAAACCACCCGGCCTCAGGGCCGCTGGGAGTAAAGGCATGTAACTAAATATAACTATTCAGTTAGTTATATAAAAGAAAAAAAGGGTCGGAAAGCTGTATCCTCTCTTCGTCTTTGTCTTCTTTACAATTCCATCCCACACACCGTCACCGTCACTACCATCAACCGACCAACCAGCCAACCAGCCAACCTCATGTTTCGACCCAATTCCCATTTCCACACCTTCACCAGAACACCAATGTCTGCAAGATACGAACGAGGCAGATCCAGAGAGATTCATGAGATAAAACAGAAAAGGAAAAAAATAATAAAAAGGGGAAAACGAGAAGAAGTGGTAAGTAGGGAGGTAGGGAGGTAGATAAAGGCGAAGTAAGATAGAACGAACAAGAAAGGCCATCAAACAACCCTCTTTTGACTTTGATTGGAAAAACAGACAGACCAGCTAGCCAGCTATGAGGATAGTTGGCAAGGAGAAGGACAAGGCAAAAAAGTGAAGAAAAGGGAGGGAAAAAAGGAGTAAGACAAGGCGATGCAATAGAAAGAGAAGCAAAACAAGGTACAGCAATATCACCACGCCGTGTCAAGAAAAGGAGAAAGAAGCAAACAATGGACACTGGTTTCCAAGAGTAGAGACCCGAGGAAGCGAGTAATGCGTGATAAGAGACGTGAACAGGAAAGGAAATAGGGGAGAATACAGCAGATGCAAGAGGAACAAGGGGACGAGAGCTGAGTGACAGTCAGGACGAGTACAGAGGAAGAGGAAGCGGAAGCGGACGGGCGAGATATGGGACGAAAAGGGGAGGGATCCAGGGGAAGAACAGTGAACTCGCGGCAGAGATTCCGAAATAAGAGTAAGATGATGATATGATGATGACGAACAGAGGAAGCAAGGAAAGGGGGTGGAAAGAACAAGAAGAGAGACGAGGAAATAGAACGGACCAAACGACTTAAGCACCCTAGCTCCATCCGTTGAAAAGATATAGCTTTGCACAACCCTTCCCTCACCCCAAAAAAAGAAGAAGAAACAGTAAAAAAAGAATATAAAAAAAAAATGACGAAGAAACTCTCACGCTGTGCCTCCTCTTCTCTCTTTCTAACCCGATGCCAACAACACTTATCCGCGAACTCGATCCTTATCACGATCTCGTTGCGGGCCAAAGTCGACCTCGACTACCTTCCCTTTCTTGTTCTTGACCGAAAACTCCGCCATCAACGCCAGATGGTCGCTTGGGAAATGGTAGTTGGGGAAGCCAGGGACACGCTGCAGGTATTCCTTATCCACTTCTCCGAGCAGTCCGGTGACTTGCAGCAGATTGGAGGAGTACCAGATGTAATCGATGACATCGGTGAAGCCTGGCGTGTAGTTGGTGAAGGAGAGCTCGCCTATGGCAGAGTAGGCTGACTTGAGGGTGAAGGGATGTGTCATGCCTTGGCGCGTGAGGTTGCCATATAGACGATCCCGGAGGTCAGGATGTTCTTCCTCTAGGCGGCCGTGGGCGAGAAGGTTGTAGACCGCGGAGGATGGGCGGGAGTTAAAGTCGCCGCATACCAAGATCGGAATCTGAGATGGGCTGCTGTACTCGACGGACGGAGACGGCTCAACGGGCGTGGGCGGGCTGGTGTTTTCGCTGTTGATCGTCTCGTCTTCTGGCTCGGAGAAGCGGAATGCTGTCTTGTCTGTGCATGGAGGTATTTTGATGAACTTCTCCGCCAGCTGCGTGACTTCTTCCATCATGATGGCGGATTGAACGAGCTTGACATCTTTGTATGCAGGATCCCAATAGATGTGCGCGTTGACTACTATGATACGCTCTCCAGACATGCGGTTCTCAAGATAGACGACGACGGCAATGTTGTCCTTTTGCCACAACCGGTTGTAGATGTCGTCCTGGCCCTTGGCGTCGGGCCGTCGTACTGCGGTTTGGCCGAAGTGAATCATCGCCTTCTCGAGGAGGATGTACTTGCTTCCCTTGAAGAAAGTGGCGCAACCATCAACGACTTTGGCTTCTTCTTCGCTCATACCTTGGGCGCGACCCTTTGGCCAGTATACGCCCTTGTAATCGTTGTATGCCAGCTGTTCCCTGAAGAAACCATGGTAGCTGCCTTGGTCGACTTCCTGCAGGCAGACAATGTCGGCGTCCTGGCCTCTGATTTCGCTGAGAAGAAGGTCACGACGGAGCTCCCAGGCGAGTGCTTTCGATGGAGCATATCCGTACTGCTGGTGTGTAGCATATCGATCGCACAGAGTGTTGTACGTAAGCACAGTAAACTTGTCATGCGGGTTCTTCGACGAGCCGCGGCCGCTTTCGTCCAAAACAATCCAGTCTCGGTCAGACGGAGGCATTGGCACTACCCGTGATATTAGTAAACAGACATATCATTGCATGTTTTAAAAGGGCGTTGATAGAAGGGTGGGAATAGAAAGAAGAGTATCCTACCTGGAGTCTCTTCCTTGAGGTACTTGATGAGTGCCTTTGTTCCCTCCTGCATGATGCGCGACTTGAGCACATCGTTTAACGGGTTCCCCTCGACGCCGAGGGTTTCCAGTTCGCAGAGATAGCCCATCTCGAAAGGCAGAGTTTGTAGATTATTGTCGAAAAGAAGGAGCCTCTTCAGGTTAGTTAGCATGCCAATCTCTTCTGGGATCTCCGTAAGCTCGTTGCTGGACACGTCCAGGTGGGTGAGGTTCTTGAGCTGGCCAATCTTGCGAGGAAGGGTTTTGAGCTTATTGTGGTTGAGATAGAGCTTGTCGAGGAAGGCATAGTGGAAGAGGCCGTCGGAGAGAGCACGAAGACCCTGGCCACCAAAGTCAATGGCCATCCAGTCCTGGCGGCGGGTTTCCTTTACGGCCACAGCGCGATTACGGTCCTCGGTGCCGTTTTCGTTAGAATCATTCTGATGGGAGGACAGCTGGATACCCTTGGTCTGCTGGGCGACGGATCTGGCATAGTAGTGAGGGGAATTGGCTTGTCTGGACTCTGCTGCAAGCTGTAACTGCTGTTGCCAGTGCTCGTTCATGGGTTCGTCGACATCGTCTTCGAGGTTGGCGGAGGAGCCGTTCTGCAGATGGGAGGGAGTAAAATGCTGAGCAGTGGCGTTGGAGAGAGCACCGGCGGAGTAGCTGTGTTGCTGGTGCGAGAGAACCGGGTTTGATTGCGAGTGAGGGGCGTGGTGTTGTTGCTGTTGCTGTTGCTGCTGCTGTTGTTGCTGCTGCGTCTGCTGTTGGGGATGTTGCGGGTGCTGGCCGGGATGTTGAAACTTCTGCATGGGCATGCCAAACCGCTGGTGACCCTGAGCACCGTTGAGCATGACCGGCTGCCCCTGGTGGCCCTGGGAGTACATGCTGAACGAGTTGATGGCGGGAGACTGATTGATTGGCGGCGAGCGCGACGGCGACGGCGTGTCCGGGTTGAACTTTAGCCTACCGGTAGGCGAGCTGGTTCCGTTTCTTAGAAGATGGCGTTGGTGAGCTTGGTGCTGCGAGGGCTGCTGTTGATGCTGTTGGGACTGTTGTTGCTGGGTTTGCTGCTGCTGCTGCTGCTGCTGTTGAGATTGGTTCTGGAAGTAAAACTGCCCGGCCCCAGGCTGGAACCGGTAGGGACCATCTGCCATTTAACGAGGCAGATGAGACCGAGGATGCGAGCTTGCGGACGGCGAAGGGGGTAGCTGGTGTAGCTGGCGTAGCAGCAGCAGGTGTCCGGGCAGAGAGACGGGCGGCGTGGCGGGAGTTCGAGCTTGCGGTCTTCGTCTCTTCAACATGAGGGCCCAGCGAGCGGAACCTCCACTGGCAGGGAAGAAGATGAGCTTGCGGCCAACCGTCAGAACCGACCGCCCTTCTTCTGCAACGCTCGTCTTTTTAGGTCCTCCGCCTCTGTCACTTTCTCTCTGGTGGCGTCTGTCTGTCTGTCTGTCTGTCTGTCTGCACCGAGGGCCAGTCCGGAGGCACAGCCGCAGCAAGGGGAGTCTCGAGCAGGTTGGCTGGGCTGGAGACGGGCTTGGTCAGAATGGGCGAGCAGCAGCGGGATGGGGGGCCAGGGGAGGGAGTCCGGCAGCGCTTACATCTGTCTGTCAGGTCTGTGGTGTTTCTTCCGGCGCCTGTCGATGCGGGTCTCTTTCGTCTTCTCGTCTTCTCGTCTTCTCGTCTTTCTTCTTCTTTCTTCGTCGTCGTCGTTTCTTTTCGTTTCTTTTTGCTTGTTTTTTTGCCTTGAAAAGTCGAAGGTGGGAGTCGGTCACGTGGAGTCACCTGACATAACGCTGGAGAAGCCAAAAAAGGACAGAAAAGACGAAGAAAGAGAAAGAGAAATAAAAAGATGAGAAAGATGAAAAGAGAAAAAAGTGAAAAGATGCATGGAGGAGAGGAAGTGATGGTAAGAAGGCAGGCTATATACACAAAGCAGTGAGTGAATGCATGGGAGGCGGCGGTGGACAGTGATGGAAGGCTCCCTTGGTGGCGTAGTCAGTCTGCCCTCGATCTACAGAGTACCAGCTGCTGCCTAGAAGAAAAGACGAAGAAGACGTAGAAGTCATGGAAGAAGACATGGAAGGCCTCGAAGAAGCCCTGGAAGACTCAAAGGCAGGGAGGGAGTCTCAGCCTGGGGCTCGCTGCTGGCTGGTGGAAGGACATAGTCATGGCAGGCAGCAGGAGACACCCTGTACAGATGCTCTTCTTCTTCTTCTTCTTCTTCTTCTTCTTCTTCTTCTTCTTCTTCTTCTTCTTCTTCTTCTTCTTCTTCTTCTTCTTCTACTACTACTACTACTACTACTACTACTACTACTACTACTTCTCTTACTCTATCTCCAAAGTGCTAGACTGCTTTGATACAAAGACCAAATTCAAGACCACACTCAAGGCCAAATGCGAGACAGCTCAGGATGGCCGCTACTAGTGACTGTCGACGGTGACTAGGCCGCCCACGCCTCGAAAGCGAGTTCTGCGACTGGTAAACAGACAGCTGGAGGACGGCAGCAGGCGGTAAATAGGCTAGCTGATCGGTGGTCCGTTATATAACTTGACGAAGATGCGAATATCAGGACCGCCAAAGGGGGTGAAGCTCCTGGCCCGTCCCAGCTCCATAAAGCAATATAAATACTCTCTCCGTCCGTATTTTTTATACTCCTCACCTCTCTTCTTCTATCTCTATCTCTGTCTGTCTCTGTCTGGCTTGTCTATCTCCCTGTCTCTGCCTGTCTCTCTAATCTTCCAGGGCTCGTCTCATCGTCCTCCCTCTGTATCAACCCCTGAGGCCGGCTATTACATACTCTGCCTGCTGCCCCCCAAGGAGCGAGCAAACAGCCGGCTCAACCCTCCTAGGCCAGGGACCGAGAGATACGAAGCAGCAGCAGACCGGCAGACAAGGCCAGAGAGTCCCCTTCTCACCCCCTTTTTCGCCCCAGGCAAGGGTAGTTAGTTGACTGGTAACTCTAAGCAAAAAATAAAAAATAAAAATAAAATAAAAAAAAAAAAACTTCGCACTAGGAATGGCCGTTCCCCCAGCGGGAGGCGGCTCGAACACCAGCGGCGGCGGCAACACCACGACCACGACGACCACCGGCAGCAACACCAGCAACAACAACAACAACAACAACAACAACAACACCTCGACCTACAACTACAGCAGCAGCGAGGTCCGGCACTACAACTACAACCACCACTACCAGTACACTCCGCCCACTCTCGTCTCGGCTGTCGACTTCAAACATGTCTTCCTCCCTCACGCACCTATGATGTCGATTCCAGCCCTAGATCCGCTTCCTGCTGGCGGCGGCTCGCCCTCATCTGCCTCCCTCAACACAGACTACACCACATACCCGCTCGGCAAGCAGAATGGACGGACCTATCTGCGCGACCCCGAGAGCACCTATCCGCTGCCCTGCGACGTGCCCGAGATCCACCGCCAGTCCCTCCACTCCCTCATCGTCATGACCGTCTGGGGAGGGCCCTTCTGCTCCCCGACCACCGCAGACAACCCGCCCAAGAAGGTCCTCGAGCTCGGCTGTGGCTCCGGCCTGTGGACGAGTGCCTGCCACGAGTACTTTGCCAACCGCGGACAGACAGACATCTCCTTCACGGGCCTCGACATCATCAGCCTGGCGCCGGACCTGCAGCACAAGCAGGGCGTGGACTGGCAGTTCAAGAAGCACGATCTACGGAAAAATACCCTGCCCTTTGCAGACGAAAGCTTCGACTTTGTCTTCATCAAGGATGTCTCGCTCTGCGGGCCCATGTCGGATCTCAAGGCGGACGGGACGCTGTCGGAGCCCCTGCGGGTGCTCAAGTCAGGCGGCGTGCTCGAGATCTGGGACTCAGACATGGTCTACAGGACGCTGCTGCCTAACCCACCCGTGGCGCCGGGTAAGCTGTCTGAGGAGTACCAGGAACAGGCTGAGATTACCGGTACATACACCATCTCGTCCGCTACCCCTTTCACCAACGCCCAGAACAAATACCTCAACGACTACAACACCTGGATACAAAAGGCCTTTGACGCCCGCAAGCTCAATACCATGCCCTGCGCCACTATCGGGCTCGCCTTCTCGTCGGAGGCTGAGTCGTTTCAGAGCTCCGGCAGCAGGCGCGTTGCCATCCCGCTCGGCGAGGTCAAATGGGAGCAGAAACAGAACGGCAAGCCCCTGACGGCCGACCAGATGGCCCTGCGCCAGACAACCCTGCTCACCGTCGTCCAGCTGATCGAGAGCATGGAGCCCTTGCTCATGGAGGCCAGCGGCAAGGGCCAGGCCGAATGGGATCGCTGGTGGACTGGCATGACCACCGATCTGATGCAGAAGGGAGGCGTCGCAAGTGGCGAATGTCTGGAAATCGGCGCCTGGTGGGGACGAAAGAAGTAACTTGCCCTTCTTCTTCTTCTTCCTCCTCTCTTGCTGTCTTTCTTCACCGTCTTCTTACCTCCCACCCAGATCAATTCAAATCATTACGCCCAAAAAAAAAAAAAAAAAAAAAAAAAAAAAGACTACCACCCTATACCCGCCGTCGGCTTCATTTTCGACCTTCAACTTCGACTTCAACTTCACCGCTCAGTTGCTTGGTGTCTGGTAACGCTTCTTCAGCGTCCGGTACCGTTTCAGGTAATATCTGCATATCACAGGTTAGCACGGCGGCACTTACTTGCTTTGTTGTCTTGTTTATTTTTTACTATCACCAGCTCAAAGGGAGGGTACTGTGAACGGAAACGGAAACACATGGGATGGGGCTATCTGGAACGACCAAAAAAAAAAAATATGCTGAGGTTCAAACGGGGTGTATATCACAATAGACGTCAGGAGTGGTTTTTTTCCCCCCTCTTGTTTTGTTTCCTTTTCTTGCTCGGGTGGATAGGAGTAAATAGGCAAGGCGGGAGGCTGCATTGTATTTATGTATGGATATCTGACGACCCTGGGACTATACGCGGAGTATATAATTTGCTTGAATAAATTCAACTTACAATGCTTCGACTTCTATAATTATAATGTCAGAAGAAACGCATGTAAAAGTGACTCGGAAATAGCACAAGATCGTACGCACCTTTCTTCACGAACTCGGCCCTCTCTATGCCCTTTTTAATCTCGGCTTCGTCTGTGATGTGCGCCTGGCTGGCAAATGCCCGGTGCAGCCGGCCTCGGAAATATGCGTATCCAAGGGGATAATCTCGACCCAGGAAGAGGAGTTCTGCTCCAGTAACTTCAGATTAGCCCGTCTATTGCTCCACACAAACCATTCCTTATGCTGGCAGCTCACCTTTATAGACCTTCACCACCTGGTGTCTTAACGAGCTCATCCTGTCCAAGCAGCCAAGTAGGTTATCAAGAGAGATGCAACGACTGACGTTGAAAGTAGGCCTGTGCTAGCGTCCGACCTGCATAAGCCTGCTCCCGCTGCCCTGGCGTCCTAAGCTGATCCTTTGTCTCCTCGTCCGGCGTCCTTGTCTCTTCCCTTTCTTTGTCCGGTCTCCATCCTCCTCCATCCTCGTCGTCCTCGTCGTCCTCTTCCTTCGCCGTCAACAAAACGCCCACGCCAAGTCACGTGCATCTTAGTTTTGAGCCCCAAACTCCGGCCCGTAAAGCCGAGGGCCGGCAAAACCAGAACCGACAGAAGACAACGAACAGGAAGAAAGAAACAGACGAAAGCGAGCAATTGATTGCTTCTAACAGTCTCCAGGGAGAATAGAAGCAAAGTATCAGGCATGTCTTCACCGATGAACCTGGCGCGAAAGTCGCTTCTTGCTCACAGCGCTCCCGGTTCGCCGTTGGTCAGCAGCATACTCAGCTTATCTTCCCCAGGTCGATGCTGTATCCCTGCTCTATCGCGAGCCTTTCATTCCCATGCAGCCCACAGGACAGCATCCAAATCTAATTATACCCAGCTTGATCCGCGATGGCTTTCAAACATAAAAAGGCGTATTGGGAAATGTATTGCTTTTGGCATGAAGCAGGATCTAGTCCCGCTTGCCGGAGGGGTGCTGGAGGAGATAGCGCGGGACTGGAGGGAGCTAGTCGCAGGCAGCGAGGGATTCTTGACGGGGGAGAAGTATTGTGGTCTTCACAGACATAATGTCGTCTGGGGAGAGATGGTGAGTTTCACTACATTTATTTTCTATTTTTCTCTATTTTTACCCTTCTCCTTTTCACGTATCGGTTAAGTATTGATGGTCTGTACTGATTTATGGTTACCTTTCTAGGATTCCATGGTAAGATACCCGCTTTCCCCTGATTATATGATATAGCCGTATTTCACCAGCTATGAACCATCTGCTCTTCATTTGTATCATGAATGATCTTCTAATCAGCGTGCTGCTATATTCGCTTTTCTGGAAATAGGGTATGCTTCATATACCAACCTGTTCGCCATCACTCCTATAAAGGAAGCAAACTAACGTACGAAACAGGCCATGTGAATAATGTCATGTATGTCCGCTATGCAGAGACAGGCCGTGTAAATTGGTCCCGCAACATAGCCCTCCACCACGACCCCGAAAACAGCAAGGAATGGTCGCAGCTCATGGGCTCCACGAGCGTAGGCTACATACTAAAGAGCATCAAGGTGGACTTTAAATTTGTGTGTATACCCCTTTAAAACATCTACCAATGTACAAACGAAGTTTTAAAACCCACCAACTAACCTATAACATCCAGCCCATGATGTTCCCAGACCAAATCAGCGTCTATCACAAACTATCAAACGAGCCACCAGCACCGAATGATCCGAATCCACGCCACTTCTCCAACCTCCGTCTTGACGTGTTGATCATGTCCGAAGCCAAGCAGCGTCCTGCTGCTCGATGTGAGGAAGACGTAGTACTGTACGATTACAGAATTGCAAAGAAATTGAACATCTTGCCTACATGGATGTTGGTGCAGTATCGGAAGCTTTGGGAGGCGCAAGAGGTTGCTAAGCAGGCCAATAGGGAGAAAGTCAAGGATATTGAGAGGAGGGTAAGGGAGTTAGAGGTTGGTACATGGGATAGGGAGGGTGCTGTCGAGAGCATGGGTTCTGCTGCTAGCAGCTAGTCAGTATATTACATGGCGTATAAAAATAGACCCCTATTTTGTTGATGTTGATGGGTGGATGGATGTCTGATTTGATACGTACACGATATCTAGAGAGCGCAAGATACGTGTTCCTTACAATGCACAGGTCCAAAGTATTAACTTATTTATTATATAATTGGTAACTGCTCTATAACCTCACCCTGTCTTGGAGCTACGTATGAAGCCTGGTTACCGTGGCCGTGAACCGGAGTACGAGGATGGGCATGAGACAGCGCAGCTGCAGGGATATGAACAGGAGCTGGAGCCAGAGCCGGAGAGGAAGTAACTCCCGTCCCATATGGCAGGAACTGTCGCATCCCATTAGGCGCGTACCGATACATCCCCATACTTCCACCCGCGGTGATGATAGCCTGATCATCTTCGATGATTGCAGCTCGCTCGATATACCATGGCGTAATCGGTACGCCATTCGGAGTAAGTATTTGCATATGAATTCGAAGGCTTTCGCGAACTTCGACTTCAATTTCGACTCCGTTGCTGGTTTCGATTGCGAACTCTACGGGTATACTCTGCTCTATACCGGCGTAGGTGAGCGGGTTATAATTCAACCTATACAGATCGGATCTGAATATGTTTTGAATATTACTCGCCGGTTCGCTTGCAATTTCAACATCAATGAAGAGGTTAGGGTCACCACCGCATGCAGGAATCAGACGAAACCTCGCTGGAACCTGGTTGGAGCATTAATACTCTCATCTTAAATCCATTTAAGATGAGAAGGGCTGGAAGCATACCTTAGGGACAAAAGCTCCTGGCAAGTAGCTGTTGTAAATGGCCGACTGGGCCATTTGCATCTGAGCTTGTTGTTCACGTTCGGCTAGGTCCTGAGCATTAGTAGAGGAAACGATGCGTTCGTGTTGGGCAGTTAGACGGTTAAGGCGGCTCTGAAGACGTTCTCTCTTTTGTACGGCAGACGCGAGCTCCGCTTCAGAGGATGTAACGGCTTTCGCCATGTTGGATTTAGCATCCTCAACCTCCTGTCTGAGCGCCTTCAGCTTTGACGTCTCCGCTTCGATGACAGCCTTTCGAGCGTTCCATTCCTCCAGCTCGGTACCGGCACCAGATAAATTTTCGAGTTTCTCAAGCTGAGCTTCAATCCCGGCGGTTGCATCTTCAGTTTGTCGAATGGTTCGTTCGAGCTGAAGGGAGCGTTGCCTTTGGCGGCTTTCGTCTCCACCACTCAATAGCCTGTGGGTCAAGCCATCTAGCTCACGTTTGACTTTGGACAGATGAAGTTTGTGGTTGTTCCTTGAGCGTTTGAGGCGGGAGCGGCGTTCGTTTAATTTAGCTTCAGCATTGACTATCGAGTTCTTGATAGTAGTTGATGGTGACGAAGGTCGTAGAGATTGCTGTGGGGATAAGGCGACAGGAGGAGTAACAACTAAAGCGCTTCGTTTAGCAGGACAGGTTAAAGAGAGTGTAGGTTGTATGAAATGAGCGTCTCACCTTGATCTGTGACGGGTGCCGACGGCGTCTTGACGCTCACAACACAGACTTCCTCATTTGTATCAACACACACAAAGCTACAGGTATATGTGCAGTCTGGCGCTAATCCAGAAATCTCTCCTCTCCAGTGAGCAATCGGGGAATCCTTGGAGCTATCAGTCACCTTGGAAAGGGAAACGGGGGCCCAATGTGCGCCGTTGACAAGAACGTAAAACGGTCCCGCAGCTCCATAAGCGGCGCCTTCAGCAACGGCGTCTTCACTGATATTAAAGTCATTCGCAGCAAATTCAATAGTTGAGGTATCAACGCCAGTAATCCAAATAAATGCATTGTCAGGAGACACGCCATCCAAATCATCTTCCGAGGTAGGAGCATTAGGAGAGTACCAATTACCATTCCGGGATCGTTCATATTCTCTAGTGACAGTAAATTTTGTGCTAGCCAAAGCGGCCCAAAAAGGTTGTATCCTTCTCGCCTCGTTGGCTTGACGACGTCGTTTCTTGGCAGTGGAGACGCGTTCCTTTGTATCTTTCAAACTAGAACTTGGCTGTGCAGGTTCAGATGAAATGCCGGATGATAGAGCGGTTGAAGGCTCAATAGAGGAGATATCAGGTAAGGTAGGCGTTACAGCAGCAGAAGTATCCGTAGCCGACCTTTCGCTACTTTTGGCGCGGGGAGAAGACCGATTCTTGGCCATTGATCGTCGAGCCATGGCAGTTCCAGCCTGAGCCAAGATGTGTACTGCAAGGAGGCTTCCTATCCAACTAGGAGGTGAAGAGCTATCTTGACGCCGAAACTCTGCGGGTATCAGGTACGAGTACTTTGCAACTGTTTCAGGAGAAAGAAGCTTTGCTGAAAACAAGTGACTAAGCAGGAAGGTCTGTATCCCTTCACTCCGTAAGAGGTGTACGATAAGCACCATGGAGACACAAAAGGTGTTGACGCCCCCTGTGCCTCCCGAGCTTCCGGCACCCAAGGCAATGGCTACCTGAACGTGAGCGAGATCAATGGCAAAGTTCTTTGCCCAATTCCACATAAACAGGCCCCATACAAGGAGACAAAAACCGTCCATTGCAATCATTGTACTTAGTGAGGGAGTTCCGGCAGGTCCTTGGAAGATGTCAAAATTCGAGGTAAGAGTCCCAGTAGAGACACCGGCGGGTAGCATGAACGTCATGGAAGCATAGAGAAATTGGACCAGGGTCAAAACGATGGGAGGGAGCTGTAGAAGGAGAATGAGAATGGCGATTGTATCGGACGTGGGACAGGCCTTAAGGATCGTCGAAGCAAGGACTAACGGATTGACGCCTTTACGGGCGGGATAGGCTTTTTTCACAGCTGGAGCCATCCTATCAGCTCGACGGGAGAAATGTTCGTTGAGTCGGTCTCCGGCTGCGATACAGGTGGCAGCTGAGTAGGTATGGTGGCCGTTCGGTGACATGGCGGCATCTCCTCCAACACTAGTACTGCTAACCAAGGCGTGACCGTTGCTTCCGTTAACCTGGACACTTCCGCTTGCACGCCCGCCTGCTTCTTTCTTGGTCACAGCTCCCATACTACCATTCGAGGAACCATAACCATTTTCCAGTTGGCCATCGAGGTTCTGCGGAGTCCTGGCGGAGGCGTAGGGGAAAGACGGCGAAGCAGCGGTTACGGAGGGAGGAATAGAAGCTGCTGCTACTTCTGCTCTCGAAGCAGTAGCGGGAGGAGTCGTGGTTGGAGTGGGAGGCGTATTGCTGGAGGCCTGGTGGAATCCGTTAGGAAGGCCATTCAGATGGCCATTAGATTTTTGTTTGGCGAGTTTCTTCCCTGGCAAGGCACGGCCTGACTCGCTGCGCTGTCCGTGGTGGTTCTTCCTAGCCATGGATTACCTATCCGCGGGCGCCAGGTGCTGTCGATGAGCCCAAATCCACTTGGCGAGGGTTAGCCAGAGTGAAAAGGGCTGCGAGGCCACCTGCGGCCCAAGAGGCAGAGTCGGGATGTTACGATCGAGGGGGGGTACCAGGGGGAGTTGATTGGCAGATGGGCGTGCCTTAGAGAGCGCCGGCCATCCTTCGGCGAGAAAGGGGGGAGAAGAGCGAGTGTCGAGGAGCAGAGTAGAGGAGTTAATGGCAGGCAAAAGTGAGGCCCGAAAAAAGCAGTGAATGAGTGAGCGAGTGAGTGAGAAAGGCTGGCCTAGCGCTCGTTTCGGATTTCACACGATGCTTTTTTTCCCTTCAGACTTCGGCGGCGCGCTTGCGGTGGAAAAAAGGTGAGCGCTGACTAAGGAGAAGTACCAATAGCATGAGTTTATTTGCTGAGTCAGCACAGCCGCAGACCTTATTTTATCGACATCAAAACGACGTGCGATAATAATAAGCAGAGGCGAGTGAGGCGAGATGAAAGGCTGCGGCGGTAAGGAGAGCGCCGTTGCTCTGTCCAGAGGCCAAATTGGAAGGCTGGTTACTTTCACCCTGGACCATCGTCTCTCTCGCCGAGCTGACTTTTTTTTTGCTGCAGTGTCAGAAGAAGGAGGATGACACACTTCCCGCTTCTTCCTTCAGCTTTTTGGCTAGGCAAAGGCGGATGCCTCGGGAGGCTCTTCTGCTTACTTGACTCCTGTTCCTTACTCATTCGCAGCCCCCTACTCTCCCGTGTTCATGTTCTACGGAGCACCCTGACCCCTTTTCTGCTCATTCTGCCCGCGCTGTACTCTACGCTCTTCCCTCCATCTCTCCTCGTCTGCCCTTTTCAGCTCGTCTTCTTCCTCTTGACCTCCCCGCGCGGCCCTAGGAAAAAAACTAGAAAGCTTAGGCTCCTTGGCCCGGGCAGATCGGCGTCACGTGGAAGCATCGATCTGCTTATCTCAGCTGCAGATACTTCGAGCGACAGGGAAGAGAAAAGTGACAGTCGAAATTTCAAGAAGTCACGCAGAGTGACACCAGAAGGAGTAGTTAGAGAATCGACTGCCGAGAGCCGGGAGTCATCGGAGCCAGCAAAAAGACAGCACATACGCCGTACAGGATGACAGCATACACGCCACTTTCACTCATGCATCCTGAAGTAACGGTCACCGATTCGAGATGAAGTGTATATCTTTCTCCTGCATGTGCTCTCTCCACAAATTATACCACCTCTCAGATGCAGAGTTCGGGACTGCTCACATTATTTCTCCTGCTCACATACAGGTCTGCTTTTCGTCTTCTGGTAATCAGCTGCTGACGTACTAGCAGTGTTGTTGGGAAGGCAAACCGATAGACAGACACCCTTACGTATCGATGTAGCACTGCATGCATTGACCTGGTGTTATCCCGGGGTTGGGCTCCATCCCTCCGCTCATCCTTTGCGAACCCACCAGTTACGGAGAAACTTGGTCGCAATCCATGCAAGATACTAACTGCCGCTTTTGGCTTCTGCACCTTTTAGTTTCCTTCGTGTTGAATTTGATGGTTGGTTGATTATTGAGATTGACCTGGGGCGGCAATTCTCTTTAAATGAAGCTATGCTCGGCACTTTATTCAGAGAAGCCGTCAATATTATCCCGCCTTAAAGCGTAATGAGCAGGTGGCAAGCCGAAGGAGAGGTAGCACCGGTTTAATTAGCAGACACTATCTAAGTTGTCGCTCTCGCTCCCAACAGCTGGTTTTTCAGGGATGATGCCAGTATCAAGCTGAGTACTGAACACCCCCTGACGTTACTGGTTCTCCTTTCTTATTTTCTCGCTTTTCACGAGTAGTTGCCGTCAGGAGAGGTACGTTAAAAAGGTTTGAAAAATATCCACATGGTAAGAATGCACTAGGGGGGACCTTTATTCCATATAACAAACCCAATGCGTGCTCTGAACGCCAACCCAGACCACCAAAGAAGTAATAATATGAACGCTAATATACAGGAAAGATACTTCGAATCCCTTCCTTACTTAGACAGGGAGCTAGGTAGGATGACATCACCCATCTCCCAGAATCTGGTGTCAGCATATGAAAGACACAGTTCTCTCGCTGAATGGGCAGTGTTTAAATTCACAGACTGATCTGAAAAGACATTCACAACCGTTCCGAATATGATCACATGGTCTCCAATTCGCGTAGTCTGTGGTAGGCACTGGCACTCGAATATAAATGGGAAATGAGAATCTTCTCCTGCTTTCGCTCCATTTATCACCAAACGTGGCGGCTCACCGCTCTGGAAAGAAGGTGATGCTTCAACATCACCGGGAGCAGTGAATCGAAAAAAGGAAGCTTGCTGCTCATCCTTATTTTTAGCTACGTTTTCATATCCTTTCGAAAACTCTAGAGCCAATCTTGCCATAGCTTCCGTAGGAGAGAGTAGATGGACGAGGAACCGGGACGAGAAACGGATGGCGTTGTGCGTCTCTGATGGTAATTTGACGTTAAATGATATCACCGGCTTTGGGCTCAGTGTTACTGTATTGAATGACGACACCGTCATGCCCCTAAAAGCAGAAGTGGGCGGAGAATTAGGGTCAGTCGAAGTAACTATCGCAACGGGATGAGGTACTAATCTCATCAACCGCCGGACTTGATTCTGGATATCCGTCTCAGCATCAAGTCCCCTTTGACTTTCTGTAGTTGAAACATCATCCTCTAGCTCAATTGGCTTTTTCTTGTTGGTATTGGGTGTACGTGAGCCGTTTGCTCTGGAGGTGCTTTCGGACTTTGCGTGATCGACTCGACTTCGTAGGTTAGGTGGCAGGATTGGGCTGAGGGTATCGGAGATGCTCTCAACATGTTTCGACACAATTGCTCGTACTATGCCCACGTAGTATTTGCGAGAGAGGGTATGGAATGGTGGGATTGCGCTCGCTCTTACGGTGGTGTTATAGGTAGCTTGAAGTATTGGGAGTCCCTGGCCCCATGGCCGAGAGAAGGGGAGCATCTTCCCAATTGACTAGCTGTGAAATTCGCCTCCCGGTATCCGATTGCATCATTTAACTCGTCCAGCTGCCCTCCCTCATGCTTCTCCGGGTATTGGAATGCTCGTTTTCCTTGTTCCTGATGAGAAAAAAACCTTGCGAAGCTTTGGTTAACTAGTCAACGAACACAAGGGAAAAAAACCTGCTGATGTAATCAAAATTATCATGAACAGCTTCAATCTTCGCGATCGAATCTTCAACAATCTTCACATTTCGCAAAACCACCACCAAAAAGCCTTAACCCGCCCAATTGGCAGGGCTCAGTCCCTCAATTCTTCTCAAAGACCCTTATTAGCGAACAAAGCCATGTCTTTTCACGCCTCCGTTCTCCGAGCGGGTTCGAAAGCCGCTTCATCGTCAACCACATTCATTTGCACTCAATGCAGAAACGCAACCCTTCTCCGCCGTCCTAAGAGACCATATACATTCACACAACTCATCGCACTCTCTGATGGAAGCACATTTACCCACCGCACCACATCTCCTCAAGCTGTCTACCGATCTACACGCGACACCCGCAATGCGCTGCTATGGAACCCCAGCAGTGAAAAACTGCTAAATCTTGAAGACGACGAGGCAGGTCGATTAGCTGCTTTTAGAAGCAGGTATGGACGAGGGTGGGACTCTACTACGAAAATCTCTGCAGAGGATGCAGCTGCCGCCGAGAATCTTGCCGGTGCCGAAGTTGGAACTGCGGCTACGCCTCAACAGACGGCTAAGGCACTCGAGAAGGAGAAGATCGTGGAATCTGAGTTTGAAGAAGAGGATGAGGATAGTTTGTTGGACTTAATTAGTTCGTTTGGGCAAGAAAACCCTTCTTCTGGATCAAAGAAGAAGTAGATGGGATGTGATGAGGCGGTGTTAGATTGGCGAGATGTTTATATGCCTTTTTGTATTTTACCTCCTATTGCTGGCATGGCATAAAGCAGGACGAGAACAATATTGTACTATATCATTATGTTATACACTTTGGGAGGGAACAACTATACGATATTCCTGAGCCAATTGGTTCGTGGTTACTTCAATTGCTGTTAGGGTACACTGATACTCGAGAATTTGAACTATAGAATTTCACTGCTATTTAACCCGACTTCCCATCACTTGATACTCAGACAACGATAAATATCCGCAAGGAACTCCTCCTGTACGAGCCAAAAGGGAAAATAAGGAAGCAAGCGGTGGCATAAGGCATGATTCATTCCCAGAGCTAGTCTAAACAAGGTAGAGTTCGTCATAAAAGGAAAGATGGTACGATATTAAAGGATCTGTGTAGAGATAGGCATCTTTTTTTATAAAATATAGGAAAGTGGTATAATGTCAAGATCAGCACCCTAATTCAGATTTTGAGAAAAATATGCTAGTGGTCCTGTATATTTCAGGCCTCGTCTTGGTCTCTGGATGTACTGTTGCTTTCTGAAGGCTGGTGGCTTGGCCCATTGCCTTCAGAAGAGGGAGCAGCGACAGGAGTATGAGCAGGAGCTGGGTCTTCATCAGCATCAAGCTGGAGGAGGAATGTTTCCCATAGTTCAATGAGCTAAACGACCAAGTTAGCATAATGTCTGACAAAATGAGGGTAGATGGTGGTAAATATACGAACCTCCTTCTGAGCTTCAACGGCGCTCTCCAAAAATGTTTCCACTCCGGACTTGAAATCTTCAACCTTTTCCCTTTCAAACCTTTCCAGCTCATTCCGCATTACTCTCCCCAAATCTTCGAACAGTAATCTCGACTGATGAACTCTCTTCTCCGCATCCGCAACCTCTGCATGAGCTTGATTCAACCGGTCCTGTTGTGACTTGCCCTGCCTAAGCAGTTTATCACGCGTGTTCTTCTTCTTCTGCAAATCAGACTCGGCTGCATGCCATGTGTGGTACGATTTCTGACGTTGGGTAAATGCCGTCTTAACACTTCCAATGAGTCGAATGTATTCATCCATGGTGATACCAAGTGTCAGGACATCCTGTTGTGCCTGACGCTCGTAGAGTTCACGAATCCGAAGTTGAACTTCGGCAAGGCCATCAAGAGGGCCGGAGAGAGCAGGAGAGAGTTCAACGCTTGCAAGGGAGTGAAGAGAGGTGGAGAAATCACTGGCAGCTTCAGCAAGATTTTTACGCTGGGCTACGACGGTATCAACGGCCTTTAATAGAGCTCTTAGCTGAGTCTCAAGAGCGTCTAGGTAGATTTTTCGATCATGGAACCACTGGTAGAAAGTAAGTATCAAAACAAGTAGGTAAAGACAGATCGAAGAGAAACATACGTCGTCATGTTCTATAAACTTTCCACTGCTTCCAACAGATATTCCAAGAGAGCTGAACATGCCCTTACTCTGCCCGAGATCAGGTTCGCGGTTTTCCTTATTCTTTACATCCATGGTAAATGACTCGCTCTCCAGGAATATCTTGAGGTCCCCATCATGTTGTAGTGTAGGATGGGCCGCAATTTTGTTGAGCATACGCTCCAATGCCGCTCGTCTAGACTCGACGAAGTTGGTATCGAATCTGCCGACTGCCTGCTTCTCCGGAGGAGGCGGTACAACGATTCCAGGGTTGTTTGAATGTAAAGAGTTGTACAGCCATAGAAAGTCTCGGTACCGTCTAGTGACCGTAAATTCAGGTCGTACATATGCCTTCGAAGTTGTCTACATAGGACTGTCAGTTAGCTGCTTGATAGATGAGCGTAATCGAGACAGAGACGGGTTCTCACCTTCGTCCTAACTTGGTAGACTATATGACTGCTGGTGATATCTCCGACTTTATGTGGATCTCCAACGGTAATGTAGAACGATGGCTTCGCAGCCTGTTCAACACTGATACTTTGATTTTGTCGTTTATCTCCGGTTGACAAAGCGGATGCCGGCTGGACAGGCGGAGGCCCCTTTGCCCGCGCAGAAGGACCGTCTTCATCAAGATCAACAGATTCCATCAGCGTTGTCACGCCTGCTACGCTAGATGTTTGCGATGCTGATGAGGTAGGCCGAGCACTCCGAGATGTAAACGACTCCTTGCGCGGGGGCGCAGGTCGCTGGTCCTGTGTCTGAGCATCCGCAGCTGAGAACGAGGATGTCTCGCCCAAAGGCCCGAGAGGATCAAGAACATCTCCTGCAGGTTCTAGCTTGACTACCTGCGCGCTAACCTTACGTGGTGCTCGGGGACCTCGCGCGGCCGGTGGTGACTGAGGAACTGAGAGTGATGTCGACGACTGCTCAGCGGCTGGCTGGGTCTCTTTAGCTAGGTATAGTCAGCAACGCAGATCAATTCAGGTTAACATCTGTCCGAATGCGATAAAACAAAGCCGTACCTGGCTCTTTTCCGTCGTTGACCTTGGAGTGGGAGGGAACATCTGTCAGTCAATCTGTCAGTCCATGTCATTGCAACGTTGGCAAGTAGGGGTTTTGGAAGTTCGAATATACCGCCCCATGGAGAGTCGCTGCCCTCCAAATCCATGGCCAGCAGGCTGGTCTGAGGACTGCTTCTTAGTACTGGCGAAGGGGGGAGTTGTCTGGCTGTGATAACAAGCAAGGAGGGAGTCCGAGATGTTTCTGCGGCTGGCTGGAAAGCTCTCAAGTAAGAAAGCTGTTTGCCTAACCATGACGAAAGTGGTGTAAGTTTGGTAAAATTACGGGTAATATTGTTACCACATGGATATAAATTACGATCCTTTTTTTAACTATCAACGCCCAACTGTTTATTGCAAGGTATTAAGTATCGGCTCATTAGAAATATGTACTGGATAAACTATCGGGCTATGTTCATGTCTAGCAACTCACATCAACTGTCTATTTTACTATCTATGCTGATTCATTAACGACCCACGGCAGGCCGAGAGAATGCATCTGAACAGCCAGTTGGAAGAGATAATCTAGACTCTCGCACTGAGTCTTTGCCTTGGCAGGAGTATCGCCCCAGACGTATCTATGGAATCCGACTTAGTTTGATCTGGATTTTTACGCGGAATAGGGTGATGCCACTTACATTCCATGCCTCCGGACTAGAACGGCGTAGGTATCGGGATATTCCTCCATGGCCTTCTCCAAACTCTCGGTCAAGTCCTCTTCAAATGCGGTATTCTCGATAATCGGAATTTTAAGTGTGTCAAAGAAACCCAGCATGCCTTTACCTTTACCCCTGGGGATTCCCTTGATCTGCTCGATGTTGCTAATCTCAAAACAGCCAGACTTGCCCTTTTCTCGTTCAACAAGCAAGGTGACTAGCACAGCCCATTGTGAATGAGTGTGGATGCAGCAGCCGGCGCCGCGATCAAAGGCAGCGAGGAATAGAGGTGTACAGGCAGATGGGTTCAAAGCAGAAGGTTTGCGGATATATTTACGGGCTGAAGGAGGGTATTTGGGAGTCGGGTAGGAAAGGACGAAGATCTCATTGGGTTTGATAAGCTCCTTTTGTACGCCAGAGGGAGCAATGAAGATGTGTTCACCACGACGGATGGAGGTCTAGTACGCACGGTTAGCTAGAAAACAGCTTGATGGGCAGTCTGCTTTAGTGAGCCGCATACTCCACCTCCAGTACCAGTAACCCATCCTAGGCTGTAGAAGTTCTTGCACATCTCTGGGATCAAGTTTGCTGGATGCTGAGGGTCGTCCGACTCTACGAGATGATCATTGTTATCCCCCTGAAGGGTCTGCTCTGACTTGATATCGGCCATTTTTGCTGGGTATCCTCAGAATCCCAAGTGTAGCCACCAAGGAACAGCTTCTCTGCGTCCAATTGAGTGATAATTTTCCTCTTCAATGTCCCGTTATCTTCCTACTCCGTCGTCTTCATCGTCTTCCTCGTCTTCTGCGGCCTTGAAGCGGGACAGGTGGGATGAAATTAATGACTAATTTATTAGTAATGAGCGGATAAATATACGACCGCGCGGTAACGGCCCGCTATGCGCACGCACTATATACCTAGTCTACACCCACGCACCGCTATGGACCACACCAAGGTGCCGTGGCAGTAAGCTGCTCTGTCGGCAAAGTGAAAGAGGCCACCTTTCAAGCGGCACACCCGTCCTGGTTTGACTTTATATAACCTCCCCAGGTCAACCTCGTTTCGACCTTCGTGTCCTTTCTTCTCTTCTTCTTCTCCTTGTCCAACTCTCTCTCTTTGCTCATTGACCTGCTGCTGTTGCCAGCCTGTTTCTGTCCTCTTGACGCTATTAATACAAGCTGACGGAGTTATCTAATTTTGTTTACTGAGAACATAGCTCTAAGGACCCGGTCGCAATGCGTCTCAACGCCCAGCTCGCGTCCTTGCTGCTCTCGTCAATAGTGCTTGTGGGCTCTGCCCACGGCGCTGACGAGGAGCCAGTGGCAGAAAAGAAGGAGACTTCTTCCATTGAGAGGCCTACCTTTGTTGTACGTTTTCCGTCTTCGAAGCGCACTTTTGTTACTCTGCAAGCTTTCTAACTCAATATGTAGCCTACCACTATCAAAGCCCCCTTCCTTGAACAATTCACCGACAAATGGGATTCCCGATGGTCAGTCTCCCATGCCAAGAAGGAGGATGCGAAATCCGATGAAGAATGGGCCTATGTTGGTGAATGGTCGGTGGAGGAGCCAACCGTCTTCAAGGGTATCGAAGGCGATAAGGGCCTTGTTGTCAAGAACCCAGCTGCCCACCATGCTATTTCCGCCAAGTTCCCTAAGAAGATTGACAACAAGGGCAAGACCCTTGTTGTCCAGTACGAGGTTAAGCTACAGAGTATGTAATTTGCACCTGAAGCTGCCTTGGTTGAGCTTGTAACTGACATATCCTAGACTCATTGAGCTGTGGAGGTGCATACATGAAGCTCCTACAAGAGAACAAAAAGCTTCATTCCGAGGAATTCTCCAATGCCTCCCCGTACGTCATTATGTTTGGTCCCGATCGATGTGGAGCTACCAACAAGGTATTTATTCCCATTGAACCATACCTCCTGAAACATGGTACCTAATTCAATTTCTAGGTTCACTTCATCTTCAAGCACAAGAACCCCAAGACCGGCGAATATGAAGAGAAGCACCTCAAAGCCCCTCCAGCGGTTAAGGTTACCAAGCTCTCGACCTTGTATACTCTCATCGTCAACCCAGACCAGACTTTCCAGATCCGCATTGACGGAGAACCCCTCAAGAACGGCACCCTCCTCGAGGATTTTGCTCCTCCAGTTAACCCTCCAAAGGAAATTGATGACGAGAAGGATACCAAGCCTGCCGACTGGGTTGACGAAGAGAAGATCCCTGACCCAGAGGCTAAGAAGCCTGAGGATTGGGATGAGGACGCTCCCTTCGAGATTGTAGACACCGAGGCCACCAAGCCAGCTGACTGGCTGGATGACGAGCCAACCACCATTCCCGACCCTGAGGCCGTCAAGCCAGAGGACTGGGACGATGAAGAAGACGGTGACTGGGTCGCCCCAACCGTCCCCAACCCCAAGTGCGAGGAGGGCTCTGGATGCGGCAAGTGGGAGCCCCCAATGATCCGAAACCCAGCTTACAAGGGCAAGTGGTCTGCTCCTCTGATCGATAACCCTGCCTACAAGGGAGTTTGGGCTCCAAGAAAGATCCCCAACCCCAACTACTTCGAGGACAAGACCCCTTCCAACTTCGAACCCATGGGCGCTGTAAGTTAAACCTTGTTTAGCCATTCCCTCAATATTGTTCACAAAACTAACATGTTGTAGATCGGCTTTGAAATCTGGACCATGCAAAATGACATCCTCTTCGACAACATCTACATTGGTCACTCTATCGAAGATGCGGAAAAATTCAAGGCCGAAACCTACGACATTAAGCGCCCCATCGAGGAGGCTGAGGAAGAAGCCAGCAAGCCCAAGCTTAGCCCTCAAATCGACGATGAGACCGACATCTCATTCACCCAAGACCCGATTGGCTACGTCCGCGCTAAGATTGACCGCTTCATCTCTCTCGCTCAGGATGACCCCATCGCCGCCCTCCAGGCTGTTCCTGAGGTCGGCGGTGCCATTGGTGCCATTCTCGCTTCCCTTCTTATAATCATCGGCATGTTCGGCCTCTCGTCCCCTGCCCCACCGGCAAAGAGCACCGGAAAGACGGCCGAGAAGACCGAGAAGGAGAAGACCACCGAGGCCGTCACCGCCTCTGGTGCTGACAGCGGCCAGGGAGAGGCAAAGAAGCGCGCTGCAAAGTCAGGCTAGAAGAAGTCACTGACAATTTAAAATCACCATTAATATCAGCATAAATCTAACCTCAACACAGCAAGCAATGCCCGCCGGCTCACCCGCCATGCGACTCAAGTGACATGATGCACAAGAGAAAAAGAACGAATTCCCTCTTACACCTTTTTCCTTTCTTCTTTCCTTGTCTTTCTTATACTTTACCTCTTTTATACCGTTATTGCAGCTGGCGTCTTTGCATCCTTTACATTTGCCATATGGAAAAAAGGGGGAAAGAATGTATTTCTTATCGAACAAGTCGGGGCATCCAGGTTCCCCTTTTCTGCTGCAGCTAAAATGCCAAAGGATGTGGAAGGGGCAGGGCTGGATGGATGGGCTTCTCTTTCGCGTCTTCTAGAGAGATAATCCTTCTACGCACCAGGCCGCGAGTTGATGCTCTGTAAAGTATCTATACCTATCTCTATATCTTCATCATATTAGCTCCATAGCAAATACCAAATATGGGCTTTCCGTTTCCTTTTCTTTTATATGTGCTTACATAATACTCGTCCGGTCCTGCAGCGGCGTCACTGATTGGTCCAATAGAGCCGGCAGAAACCGCTTACCCGAGGAACTTGCTAGCTTCGGCGGCAACTCCAGAAAGGTTAAGTTGCTGGTGGCTGCAACTAACGACTCCGACTTCCAACTGCTGCATCTTCATCTCATCCCAGTCAACGCCTCCCCCTCTCCCTGCTCAGGTCTAGCTCCAAGACAACGACGACAGAGATAGAGACATAGCCTGCTATCATGGCCTCGAGAGCTGCCACCCGTTTGACTGCATTCCAGCGCTCCCTGGCTGCTGCTTCTCCCCGCAGCTCCCTTGCCCGCTCCCTCACCACAGCAGCCCGTACCGGCAGCACCAGCACCAGCACATCCATGATGGCCTCATCCAGGAATAGCTCGGCTATAGCTATCCGCAGACTGCATGCCACGGCTCAGCAGCTCAAGCCTGCTGCCGCTGCAACCGCCTCAACCACCTCCGCAGCATCCACGGCTACCTCATTCCCCCAGTCCCACGAACGCATTGCCTCCCCCATCGACACCACCAACTTTATCGACAACGAATTCACTGCTTCTCGCGCAGAGACATGGATTGACCTGTTCGATCCTGCTACCAACAACCTGGTTACTCGTGTTCCCCAGAGCACCGAGGAAGAGATGAAAGCTGCCGTTGCCAGTGCCCAGGCTGCGTTCCCGGCTTGGAAGGCCACCAGCATCATGGCCAAACAGCAGATCATGTTCAAGTTTGTCAACTTGATTCGTGCCAATTGGGACCGTCTTGCTGCCAGCATCACCCTTGAGCAGGGTAAGACCTTTGCCGACGCTAAGGGAGATGTTCTCCGTGGTCTGCAGGTAGCCGAGACCGCCTGCGGTATCACCACCCAGATAACCGGTGAGGTGCTCGAGGTTGCCAAGGATATGGAGACCAGAAGCTACAGAGAGCCATTGGGTGTCGTCTCCGCCATTTGCCCATTCAGTAGGTGTCCCCATACATATGCTTGCCTCTCACTATTGATCTGTTCAATAGCATAGTTGCTAACGCCAGATAGACTTTCCTGCTATGATTCCGCTCTGGTGTATCCCAATTGCTACCATGACTGGTAACACTCTTGTCATGAAGCCATCTGAGCGTGACCCCGGTGCCGCTATGATCCTTGCCGAGCTTGCCAGGGAAGCTGGTTTCCCCAAGGGTGTCATCAACATCATCCACGGATCTGCCAAGACTGTCGACTTCATCCTTGATGCTCCTGAGATCAAGGCTATCAGCTTCGTTGGAAGCAACCGCGCTGGTGAATACATCTTCACCCGTGGTTCTGCCAACGGCAAGCGTGTTCAGGCCAACCTTGGTGCCAAGAACCACTGCGCCGTCCTTCCTGATGCCAACAAGAATCATGCCCTGAACGCCATTGCAGGCGCTGCCTTCGGTGCTGCTGGCCAGAGATGCATGGCCCTTAGCACCCTGGTCATGATTGGTGAAACCAAGGAATGGCTTCCTGAGATCGCCGAGCGTGCTCGTGCCCTCAAGGTCGACGGTGGGTTCGAGGAGGGAGCTGATCTCGGTCCCGTAATCAGCCCCGAGAGCAAGAAGAGAATCGAGGATATCATCGCGACCGCTGAGAAGGAGGGCGCTACCATCCTCCTTGATGGCCGTGGCTACAAGCCCGAGAAGTACCCCAACGGTAACTGGGTTGGCCCAACCATTATCACTGGCGTCAAGCCACACATGACCTGCTACAAGGAGGAGATCTTCGGCCCAGTCCTTGTCTGTCTCGAAGTTGACACCCTCGATGAGGCTATTGAACTTATCAACGCTAACGAGTACGGCAACGGTGCTGCTGTTTTCACCCGCTCCGGCCCAACTGCCACCAAGTTCCAGCGCCAGATCGAGGCTGGCCAGCTTGGTATCAACGTGTAAGTGTTTCTCATTCCACAAAATTGCCAATCACATTAAGTATTTAACTAATGTTCCTACTATAGCCCCATCCCTGTCCCACTCCCAATGTTCAGCTTCACGGGAAACAAGAAGAGTATCGCTGGTGGCGGAGCAAACACGTTCTACGGCAAGCCTGGCCTCCAGTTCTATACCCAGCAGAAGACCGTCACCAGCCTGTGGAGAAGTGAGGACGCAATCAGCAACAAGGCAAGCGTTGTCATGCCCACCCACAGTTAATTGATTTCCTTTCATATAAAAAGACAAGAAAACGAGAAAGAAAGACACATACGCCCGGTTCTAGCCCTGCCATTTTTACATGTTCGCGGATAACATAAACTTCCTCTTTTCACCATAGATTGTCGCACATTTCTAGTCTAGACATCCTTGACCAGCGTACCAAATCGGCTCTCAGCCTCATGGCTGGAATACGCAACGTTACTACGATATGATCCAGAAATTATATTTTGGGTAGTAGCTTGTGCCTTGATTATGTTCGGAGATAAAAGGAGCGTTTGTTTGACACGATTAACTGTGTTGTAAAGAATGTTGAATTCGATACCAAATTGTTCAGCGCTTGTCTGTTGAAACAAGGAGAACCTTCAATAATTTAAAAAGAAATCAGCCCGTCCTACGTTTATTGGTATTTCACCTAGTAGTCGTCTCCCCGAGATATCACCTCCTTGCAATTGGGCCTGAGTAGAACGGTCTATTCAACGGTGGGTTAGCGTATCTATCCATGCAAAGGGTAAGTACACTTACATGTTCAAACTGCGCGACATATGAGCCTGGCACATCAACGAGCGGTGCATAGCACTCTACGATATCATTTGAAATGAGCGATCTCATACCAAGATGATAGTTCTTCACCCCCATATGCTCAAGATATCGTCTAGAAAAGACTAGCGTTCCGAAATTCTCGCGGATGGTCTTCAACAGTGACTTGGCAGATGCATGATGAAGACCAGCAGTGCTAGCCTGCTCGTTGAGCCCGTAACCATATACCCCGGCTTCATCCCGGGTATAGCCCTTTCCAGTGCTTCCAAAGGTTTCAATAGCAAAAACGTCACCTTCTTCCATGCATTGGGTGGTCTTCGACTTGACAAAGGGGACTTGCTTTTCGCCATGAATCTTGTAGCGCAGAATGTTATGACCAGTAAGGCTACGAAGGGCCTTCACAGGAATGACTTTCCCATTGATTTCAACTTCATAACTTTCCATCACTTCTTGGATTTCTCCACTAATATGATCAATTCTAGCGTCAACACCAGCTTCCTACATAGCGGTTAGTACTATACTTGTCACGGAAGAGTATAAACAGGCCCCATAGAAGATACCTTGATTCCGGTATTTGTGGCTGCTTTCACGGCTTTGAGTAGATTATCGTAAACAGGGCTAGAAGCCATGGTAAAGGCACTGTCTACAATTCTTCCATTGATATGAACTCCAAAGTCTATTTTCAAGACATCATCATGCTGGAGGATAACCTCTTTGGCTCCCGGGTTTGGGGTCCAGTGAGCTGCAACATTGTTGAGGCAGAGCCCAGTCGGGAATGCAAGACCGGCTTTCAGAGCGTCGCCGGTCTCAATTCCTTCGTGACCGGTAAGTGCGCGGACACCAGTCTCAATCTCATGTGCAAGCTCACTCATTGAAACCCCAGGCTTCGTGATTGACTGTACATACTGACGGACCTGACGATGAACTTCAGCAGCTTGGCGATAGTTAGTCAGAAACTCGTCATTCATGTTTTGGATAGCAGCCTGATGACGAAGTTCTTCCGCAGTTGTGCGTTGAAGATTGTCATTGCAAGCGGCATACTCAACAATCTCGCCCTCTGGGTATCGCTGATCATGAAAGATGCTGGGTAGCGGCATTCGTGGGGGAGTTGTCTGTTGCCCATTTGACGCCTTCTTCTTTTTCTTCTTTTTGTTTTTTCTTTTTCTCTTCTTGCCGTCTATGATAAAAAAATTAGCAGTGTGTTAGAAGGGTACAACAGCCTAGTTGGTTTACCATTGTTCGGCTGGCCGCCGGACTTTAGGTCAGTTCCGATCTTTTGATAGTCATTATTTTCCCCTTCCCCATCATCGTCATCTCCGTCAAGCACGCCTTGAACAAGTCCACTTGCGGCAGCTGGTTTGGGAGGGTTGATAATAGCAGCCGCACTACCAGTGGGCGATTCTGCTCCAACGTTAGTAACAGACAAGCACAGCAGCAGGGGTTTCTTTTGGTTTACCATTTGGCCCCTGGCGATAACCTTCTGGTGACTTGGATCCCATAATTTACACTGACCTGTTCTCATGAAGCACGTCGTTGTCATTAGTTTGGTTGTACTCCGTAGTTGAGACTTGAGCTGAGGTTGGAGACAGTTATAATGGAAGTCGCATGTCCGTCTTGGCGCATCCTTCGCCGTGCGTTCTCCGTCTTTCTCATGCCTTGTGCTAGCCTGGCAAGTATAAAGTGAGATTGCCAGAAATAATACTAAAGAAATACTCTCCCACTTGTAACCAGTGCATTCAAAAGCCGGGAACTTATTTGAGTATGGCGTAAATTTAGAGGATATAAACTTGTATTGGCATGAATTACGTGCCAAACTAATTATTCAAAAAGAGAATCATCCGTAGACAATTCATACTCAGAATCCAACCATTCCAAGGGCTGAAAGCAAAAGATAGTGATATCATGGATAAATGGGCAGGTAGATAACCAAGTCGCATCTAGTCTATGAACGGGTATGCAAAAACTCTTCAGACTGCGCAGAGATGGGCTCTGAAAATGCAAAGTCTTTCGACACACATAATCGGCAATAAATTACTCCTCTTGGCCGAGATAACCATAGACAAGTCTGACTTTGCTGCAGACACCGTTCTTGGCAACGACGATACGGCGAGTGTAGTATCGTGCGCCGTTGATTACTTCGAAACCCCAGACCTTATAAAACGTTAGCTGTGAATAACTAAATATGTTGAAGGAGTTGCCTTACCTGTTCGGCAGTCCAGCCGTTGTCAACACTCTCAACCCAGCTCTGCAAGAATGGCTCGCTGCCCTCACTCTCATCAACAGCCCAACCGTCAGACGCAGATCCGTCAGCTAGGACGTCTCCGTTGAGAAACTTGGCAACACCAGCATCTTCCTCCTCCTTTCCAACCTTGGTCTGTATCTCAAGGTCAGGAACAGTCTTGGAGCCATCTTTCTTAGAGCTGACGAAGCGAGTCTGGCCCTTGACGGTGCCGAAAATGTGATCGGTGTGCTCCCTGACGTTCCAGCCGAGCTCACGCTTCTCGGTGGTGCCAGAGATTCCGCCAGTCAGGGTCTGCGCAATATCAATGTGGACAGTACCCTCTTCAGTGTACTCCTTGATGTGTAGGGTGATAGTGGCTAGGCCGATGGCCTTGCGGGTGAACCATGAGATTCCTTGCTATAGACTTGTAAATAAATGCCTCGTATGCAATGTCTTGGGGGAAACCTATAACGTACAAGCTGTAGGGTTGGGTCGGTGCTGTCGGAGAGCGAACTATCCTAGTCGTCTGTTAGACCCCGCATATTAAATTAGAGGCGACAAAATAGAGGTATCAGGCCCATATGGTATCCTCTTTTGTTTAAGCTGGCTATAAAATCCAGTTCTTCCAAAGGACCTTGGGCTCTGCAGAGGCTCCTCGACTTACCATAGTCCATCTTCCAGTCAGGTTGTGAACAGTAGCTTCCTTTGGAGCAGCCATTTTGATAATGTGATGTAATAGGCAAAGATAAGTGCAGGGGACGAAGATAAATTTCGAGAGAGCAGACTTGCGATCCAGATATGAGTAGCAGCAGAAGAAGAATATGCTGATGAGAAGAGGAACCCCACGACTGTTAAAGAAATACCTTTTTAAAAGCGTCGTTTGAATTAACTAGTTAGTTACTCCGTAAAATGTGATGGAGACGGTAAACCTCGGAATAGCAGGAAACTTCCGACTTGTGCATTATTTATCATGTGCAAGTGACGGCATTGAACGTGGGGAAGAACTCCGCCAAGGATGCCGGCAAATCGTTTCTGAATCCAGGAACGAAAGTTGAATGCCACCACCCACAAATCGCTGTGCTTCGTTTGACACCCTTCCATGAGTAAAACGGGGTCGGCTGGAACAAGCAGCACTCCGTTGTGGCAAGCACATGTAGTCCCCGTCCTCAGCCCCAGCGTTCTGATGTGCCCCGGAAACTTCCCGTCCACAGCATTAGTAGCAGTTTTTATATTCCCCCTTCCCCCCTGCCCTCCTGAACTGTTTGTAGGTGCAATTATTAGCGCGGAAATAAGAGCCCATGGGAGCTTGCTGAACCCCTTTTTGGAATTGCCCGAGAATTTATGTTTGTTGTCTCGATTTTCGGGGGTCTTTCCCACGGCTTGTGAAGGGGCAAGCCCTAACTGTAGCTGCCACCCTATTATTGGTTAGTGAAGAAAGTCATTATTGAATAGATGGGAGTAAGTCATCATTTGGCCTATCGAAACCGCATTTCTTAGTTCAATTATGCCACCATTGCCTTCTCTATCGTAGCGAGTGCAGGCATAGCGAGCTTGTGCAGCCGGGAATTCGCTGTTGGAAGTTGGAAACCGGAACGTTGAGGGAAGTCGATTTAAAGGTGTTGGTAGTCACGTGATACAAACATGGCGCCCGCGCGCGGAGAGAGATTTGGAGGTGAAGACGAAGATGAGAGAAGGATGTATAGAGTCAGCAGCATAGACAAGAAGCGAGACGGGGACTAAGAAACAACTAAAATGGCGTTTAATAAGAAATACGCTGGACTTCCTGATCTGGTATGTGCCCTTATGAGAAATACCGCATAGGAGTGACCGCGGTTTGCTAACACATGGTGATAAGGACCTTGCTCCTGATATCTATGAAACCCCCGAATTGACAGACGCTTCTACGCTGCCGGTAACATTTACTCGCCCTTAATGCGGAGTCTGGGGATTTACATGCTGATGGAAGAATACATTAGGCCACAACGGTACGCTCGTCGTCACCCTTCGATCCGGAACAGTCTTCAAACCCAGAGATCGATGGCCGTAGATTACGAGTTGATGAAGCTCGTTCACATTTCGAACCTGTTCGGGTCGATGCCAAAGACGTGGACTTCTCAGACAGCATTGCGTCTAAGAAGAAATCCTACCGAACGATAAGGGGCCCAGGACGGCAAAATAGGGTAGAGCTGGTACTTGGAGACCTTAGTGACGAAGAGGACGAAACCCTTGAGAGAAAGCTAGCTCGACTTCGAAGGGAGACTGAAGAACTAAAAGAAGAGCTTGCCAGCAGGAAAGCCCAAAGGGATGGCGATGAAAAAGCAGAGGAAGGTGAGACACATGGCGACCATGATGAAGGAATCTTGGAGCTTAGCCGGACTTTGGATACCCTGTACACTTCTTCTAAAGGGACCAGTCCCACGGCAGAGGCCGCGTTATCCCATAAACTCTCTACAGACGTATACAACGGCCAACGTGCTTTGGGCCAGGGGCCTGTAGGTGCCGATGGGTCTTCCACTTCCCAGCCCAGCCCTAACGCCTCAATTCTATCCCAAGCGGCATCTTTCGACGCACGACTCGCACTGCTAGAAGCCGCGCTGGGGTTGAAGAACACACCTGTACCAGTATCACCAGACGACCCATCAGACATGGATATCCAGCCTATTCTACCATCACTCAATCATCTTTCTTCCCAGCTCTCGACACTCAGCAGCACCCTTACTGCTAACCAATCGACAAATACCGATCGACCATCCGGCCCCTTGTCGGTAACGACAACTCCACATATTGAAGCATTGAGCAGCAAGATCCGCAAACTCACTGCTGACGCTGAAGCACTTACCACTGCCCGACAGAGAGCAACCGATGCAGCTCGTGCAGCCTTTTCTGCCCGTATTGCTGCTGCTACATCTGACGAACCACAGCCTTTCATGGATCCTACACTCTCTACCTCCGCAGCAGTAGAATCGGACGCTGCTGCATCTGAACAAACTGCCAAGATACACGCTTTATATACAACCCTGCCCACCATTACCTCTTTACACCCCTTACTTCCTACTGTATTAGAACGATTACGTTCTTTACGTGCTATCCATGCCGGAGCTGCAACGGCTAGCCAGGACCTTGATGCGTTAGAACAACGTCAAGCTGATATGAAGAAAGAAATAGATCAATGGAGAGAGGGACTCAAGGCTATGGAGGAGAAGGTCAAGGAAAGTGAAGAGACAATGAAAGGGAACATGGAAGTCATGGGCCCTTGGGTTAAGGATTTAGAGAAAAGGCTAGACGCCTTGAACCAATAGTCATGATTCCCTGTGTGTCGAGTTCGAATTTTCCTAACATACCCCTAAGTTATTGCTCTCACTTGACCTATATAATACAATAATCCGTCACCCTTTAATAATGATATCTCCATGAAGTGATACACCCGGTAGTACAGATAGATATGAAGAATATTCTTCAGAATGGTGTTTAGAACATTCATCTGATATGTTTCATGATCCTGATCTTTGGGGCCAACCGAGCTTCAACCCACCAGCCGCGTGTGATACGTTTTCTTGCACCCGCCTTGAACGATTCCCAATAATCAACTCCTGTATCCCCAAAGAATGCCCGCAAGATCATAGTCTCGACACCACAAGCGTAGCAGTCATCAGCACCCGGTCGAACAATGCGGATCCCATCATATCCATAAGCGTTACCAATACGCTTCCAATTACCCATTCCGCGGAGAACCGCCTCGTCTTCAACAAGTGCATAGTCAATTCGACCCCAGAATTCAGAGTTTCTCTTTTCAAGTTCGCTTTCTGTCTTGTCATATATCCATCTAGACTCTCCAGCTTTGAGTTCGGGAAAGCTACCATCGTTTGAGCCAGGGAGACGGATCATTGGGGACCTGGGAATTGGCATTTCCAAGAAATGAGTTGCTCCAGTTTGGCACGTTAATGTGTCCATGTGGGCTGTAATGACTGGTTGAGTGTTATGGGCGAGAGCATGCACTTGCTTCATGGCCGCTCCGCCTGGGTAGTTGGCCATGGAAATGGGCAGAAGGATGAGGAATGAGATCGCGAACGAGGCCAAGGTTGAAAGGACAAGGGAGAGGGAAAGGAGGCAGTAAATAATGGATTTCGCTCGACGAGTCCAGACGTATGATGCTCCAAGTGAAGCAATGCCGGTAAACGGCGGTATTGTGTAGATTATAAACCGCCATTCCTTATGCGGCTGAAGGCTCATTACCGCAATAAAGCTGATGAGCGGAATGAAGAGTGACTGGGCAGCTTGACGGAGCGGATGGATCAGACAAGCAATAGGGATACACACAATGTATACCAACGGGTTTAAAAGAAGACGAGGCAGGGCATTGGTCAAGTATTGGTACCACGGGTCTGTACCCCAGTTTGAAGCCTTCCCCTGAAGAACATTGTATGCAAAACCAGCCAATTCAGGCCAGAGGGGAAACTTCTGCCAAAAGAAAGAATCAATCAGTATGGTGATGGTTAGACCAATCAAAACACCGCCAATGCCTGCTGGAATTATTTCTCGACGTAACCCTATCCTCCCCTGAGCCCAGAGGTATATCGTTGTTGTGCCTAGTAAGACTGCGATTTCAGACCGGAAAATCACTCCTGCAATGGTGAGCAGGTAGAGCGATAGTCGATATTTCCTGCTCATACGTTCGCTAGATGATGCGTGTAGACATGTCACGAGAAGGGTATAGGCAAAGGTAGCTATTGGTCATTGGTAAATAGATAGACAAAGAAAAAAACGCTATGTAAGATGAGAACGGTACAAGGGGTATGCATACTGATAGGTAACGCAAACATATTCGGAAGGGTCCTCGAAGCATAGTACATAATATGGAACTGACTATTTTGGAACAGGAGGTACCATATTCCAGTAGTCAGTCCAAATGACCTGCTAAGGGCACGAGCAAACCCTCCTAAAGCGAGGAAATTAATGAGCCACAGAACACCGCGTACTAATAGGTATGTTAGCATAATATGTATGTAGATGCAAGGGTACTAAAACTAACCTATGGCTTGGGGGTCACCACCGGTGATACGTATCACCGGCTGAGCAACGCCAGCTAGAAGGACAGCGCCCACGAATGTCCTTGGGACGGATCCAGGAAAGCTAACATGATCATATTGGTTGAGGACAGGCAACGGGTTACCCACTGAGGGCACTCCGTACTTTAATATGTCATGGGCTGCCTGGATATTAAAGGACTCCTCAACCTTGGTAAAAGGGGACAACCAAAGGTAAGCAGTGCCAATGATGCAGCTGACTGCCAGCGTAAACACGAATATCAGATTCTGCATATCATCTGGCACTAGAAGAATAGACAATTTTTAAACACCAACTAATTCACATCAAACATATCATGGGTATCAGGAGAATTGTAAGCTTGACTGGTATGTTGACATTGGGATCAGCATGTAGTTGCATTGGAGTTTTGCAGGAGCAAGTCACGTGAAAGCTCCAGCTTCCAACACGTCGTTGAAGGTTATCAATCAATCACTTATTAACTTGCAAGGCCGCAACGAAGTCGACTCTTTGGGCTGCGCTTTCTACTCTCCCTAACCAGCACTTGGGACGTGAAGTGATTTCTAGTAATCAATCTTGAAAATGTTCTTCTTTGGCCTCGGGAAACTATTTCAAGGTATGCCCTCTTGTCAGGGACGCATCTATACCAATGCAACACACCCCCTCAAGGAATCTGCAGGAAACCAGGAGACTTACAAGCTATCTGCCTTATCCATAGTGGTAATACTTATAATAAACGCCATCGCCATTCTATCCGAGGATCGCTTCCTAGCACGAAGTAAACGACCCCCACCAACAGCCATCGCATACCCATACTCCCTTGGCTTCCCTCTCTTATCCTGCAGAAATGACGATGCTAACTACTTGATAAAAGTCGGCTGGAGCCGAACACAGTACGATGCAGGGTTCGGAGCAACACACGATAACACCAGCATAAAAGCGAAATCCGCCGATTTAATCGCTAGTGTTCGGACAGTCATGAGGAGTACGTCTACATACATTCCTTCGTGGGGGATTTGTTCTAACTATTCGCGTTATAGTCCCGTTAATCGCTATAAATATGCTGGTTATATTCTATGAATTGGTTCTGGGGTGATTCTTGCTTATAAAGTTATAATGATTTGTGAATTGAATCGATGTTTGGCGTTTTATATATGATACTTGCCTTCTTTCCCGCCTGGCACCGCATCCACTTCCAGACATTGCGCACCGTCATGGCTGCTGGAAGGGCATCGGAGCAGCGTCCCAACCTCCGCCGAAAGAGGTCAGCGGTGGTGGCTCCGAATTGGTCCGGGGCCGTCTCTCAATCAAATATCAAATGATACGGGGGCAATGGTAGTGACTTAACGAGGGATGGGAAGCAAAGTGAACCAAGAGAAAGATAAATTGGAGAATAAACCTCCCCCAAGACCAGTGAATCCAATCAATCAATCATATTAACATTTAACATTTCATTAGCGATGCATAGTTAGCCATGTACCGGGCTATATTGAACATCAACATCAACATCAACACACACTTGTCTCTTGCATGTAATTAGTTCAGTCCTTGTTTTTCCATCAGTCAAATCTGGCATGCCATACTATATATGTAAATGCACAGGAAAAGAGAAAGATAGTGCAAACGAATGATCTGATGTCAACAAGTGAAAATTGAACGGAAGAAGGACACCTGTCTTTTCTGGACGGTGTAAAGAATGGGAATTGGCATTTAAATCGTCTTTGGTTTGGTATCAGGCTGTAGATCGTGGGGTAGAAGGGAATGATGGACGGAATACATGGCACGTTAAAAGCGAGGGAAGTGTAAGGCTCTATATACAATCCAAAGGGGGGCGGAGAGGTATGGATGAATCACGGCAAATATATGCAGGGAAGAGAAAGATGGTCGGCTAGAAGGAAAAAAAAGAGGTGATGTGATAACCAGCGACTCCGCGTAAATGGGTAGAAAAGATAGGGAATATGAAGAAAAATTGAAGAAAAGATGAGACGCCGATGAAAGCCAGCCAACCAACCGGTGTATGTATGTGGGTATGTAGTATATGGCAAACTCAGATAAGTGGTACAGATGCGAGATGATTGACGATCCAAGCGAGAGGCAGACGGGTAAAGAAGGGCAGTAGGTAGGTGTGAAGTGTCAAGTTATAGCACACTGAAAGACTTTTTGCGGAGGCTGAATCTGCTTCGTCGGGTGGTGGGTTGTTTCGGCGGAGATGGAGTAGGGGGTGGTTGAGGCAGCGAAGTGATCTGCGACTGTTGCTGCTGCGAGGAAAAATCCTCCTGCTCAGCCTGTGCGAGTACTCTGGCGGCTAGATGGGGTTGTTCGCCTGTTCTAGACCCGGAGGCAGAGCCTGAAGCGGGAGGTTGGTTGCCTGCATCAGTGGTTGTGCTGGATGAGGTATCGAGTTCCCGTCGTTGGAAGTTTTTGGGCATGATAGTGACGTCTGAAGCAGTAGGGTTGCCGTTCATGGCAGAAGCAGAAGCAGTAGGTAGGTCTGGCACTTTGTCCTTATTGTTGTTGTTGGCGGTGCTGTTGTCTTTGTGTTTTCTGCTGTAGCTGAGTGTTCGGCTGCCGAGTTTGAGTCTGCCCAGTCCGCCTGCGATTCCGTTGATGCCGTTCGTGAAGCCATTTGCAATTCCATTGGTGTTTCCATTCCCGTTAGCATTGGTGCTGCCGTTACCAGTGGCGCCGTCAGATGCACCCTCAGAGGACAAGCGTTTCTTCTCAGAGGACAGTCTCTTTTTCTCCTCTTTGGCCGTGAGTTTACTTGCGTCCAGGGCAGATTTGATCTGCTGTTCTTCCCTCTTCGCTATTTCCCTCAGACGGGCGTCGGCTTTCTCCTGTTCCTTGCGTTTCTGCTTCTGGGTTTCTTTCTCCTGGGCCTTGCGGTCCTTTTCTTCGCGAGCTCGTTCCTTTTTGGACTGAATTTCAGCGGCTCGGTCAGGAGTTCGAGACATCAGGGGAATACGAGGCAGAGAGATGGGCAGTTTGTTAGACGATGGCGTAGGTGCAGTGGCTGGTTGTGAATTGGCTGCCGTTGTAGGGAGGGCGGTTGGCGGGGCATCGCCTATATTCGACAACTGCGGTGCGCTGGGTATCAGTTTGATGGGGTTGTATGAGCCTGCAGTTGAGCTGTCTGTTGTTGTAGGGAGCTGGGGTATGGCACTGCGAACCCGACTGATATCCTGTGGCGGTGTTGGGATTGGCAGGTTTCCGGTTGTTTTCAAGTCCAGGGCCGCCATGGGTGCCAGATCCGCATCCTGCGACTTTGAAGCGGCAGACATGCGCTCGTCACTCTGCAGCTCGCGCTGCATGGCCTCGAAGGTAGTTTCCTGGTAGAACAAGACATATGCACAAGCCTGACCGGGCTTGTCACCGAAGAAATTGCGCACGTAGCTTTTGTCCACGGGTTCGACCATCTCGTCGTCGAACAGCAGCCAGCCTCTGTCTTCGGTTTTTATGATAGCTACATAATGGCCATGGTAGGGCCCACCGCCAATATGCACGACAACGGCATAGAGCTCGTACAAGCGGTCCGGGTCCTCGGCATCATCGGTGGTATTGAAGAGTCGTAGGTAGTAAGGATAGACGACACGATGGAACAGCTTCTGTAACCTTTGCTGGTCTTCGGTGTACTTGAAGCGTTTCAGATGCAGGGCCAATATCCTGGGCAGACGCTTTATCTTCATTCTCTTTTCAGCTTCCTGCAGGCCACCGCAGTTATCACAGTGGAACTTGTTGCGTTCGCAGAGCATCTCCTCTTGCGAGAATTTCCGCAGACATGAGGTTACGGAGGAATGCTGTTCCAGGTCGACGGAGAGATCGAGGAATGCCTCATCACGCTGGGATTTCTTTTCGCAGGTAAGACACTCTGTTTCGGAAGTGAGTTTCCCCTCGAACAGCTCGTGGACCCAGCGAGTGCTGTAAGGGGTCTTTGCGCTGCCACCGACAGAGGTAGCCAGAGTAGTCGCGAGGGAGGTTGATGTTGCGGTACTTGACTCCGAGTCGGCATCTGCTTCGAGCATGGACGTCCGATTTGCCTCGGCCTCGACATTGTTGACCACTTCGTTGAGCAGCAGGTTCAGAAACTCGTGGGCGTCCTGGTGCATGGCTGTTCTGAACATCTCGTTTTCCCGCCGTAGAACGTCGAGGAAGTGCTGGGGTCTGACGACGCCAACACGTTCTTCACTGGCCGCTATGGACTCGAATATGTCCTTTAACGAGGTAAAGAGGGACTCCTGCATGCCGTAGTTTTGAGAATTGTCAGTTGTCTCGAGGACGGGCAGCGTATGCATGGCGACTTTCTTCTTGTACTCTGGCGAGTCCTTGTCCTCTGGCTTTGGAATCTGGTTCTGTGGGGTGAGTGTTGGCCTGACTCCATTGCTGGTGGCGAGCTGCTGCTGCTGCTTGAGCTTGGTCTGGAGCAGTGCTTCTTCAAGCGAGATGTCTGGGTCCGGGTACTTGAAGTTGGTCGAGAGTGCGTGTTTGAGAGACTCTGGCGGGGAGCGCTGGGGGTAGTTTATGACGGACTCTCTAAAGGGGGCGGAGTAATATAGACATTGGAGGATAGAATTGCAGTAGCTGCGAGTGGTAAACCTGTTAGGACGACATCACATCCAAGACAAGAGGTCCCTGACTAACCATGTGTTGGCGAATGGGGCCTAGAAGATATATCAGTACAACTTCCCCCTAATATAATAAAAAATAGCAAGGAGATATAAAAAAAAAGGACTTACATTCTCCATGCCAAAGAACTTGTCACTGCCATCGCTTTTGAGCGGTCCGGCGTCCGAGAGGAGTTTCTGGAGCGGCGTCTTGGGCAAGGGAGCCGAGTCCTTCTTCGAGGTTGCGGTACCGTTGGCGGAGGTGCTGTTGGCCTGGATAAAAGCAAAAAGAGAAGAGAGAGAGTCGATAATCAGCAAAAAATGATGTCACTTTTCATGCAAGCTGCGGTGTCCAACAAGAGCTCCTGACGTACTCCATTGCCTCTGAACTTGCCAAAGAACGAGCTCATGGTGAACCGCGAGCTCGAGGGTCTGGCTGTCACCGGCTCTCACGCAGCCGAGCCAGAGAAGGGCCGGCGCAGAGCAGCACAGGAACGAAATATATAAATATATATAGCACTATATATGTGTGCGTATATGCGACGATCGAGTCAACAGACAGGCGGTACGGAGGCGCGCTGGACCATCTGGATAGGAACAAGGGCGAAGGAGCAGAGGAGGGAAGAGGAAGAGGGAAGCGTCTTTGTAGCAACGGCGACGATCGTATTTCGGCGAGGGTCTCTTTTGTCGACGCAGGGCTGCAGGTAGGGGAACTAAGAAAGGCGACCAAGAGCGGATCTTGCCGTGGGTACAGTCGGGGTAAAAGGGCCGACCGGGACAGCGAGAGGGCCAGCGAGGCTCAAGCGAGGAAGAAGAAGCAGAAGAAGGAAGCCCTGCAGCTGGCGGACGGTCGAGGGCGAAGGTGTTTCACGCAGGGAGAGGAAGAGACGAGAAGGGCGTCTGGTTAAGTAGTTTTAGTTGGCCTAGGGCCTTGGAGAGCGGAAGGCTGCCAAGGGACGGCGACGGCAGAGAAGCAAGACGGTAGAAGAAGAAGAGAAGTAGAAGAAGAGAAGAAGAAGCAGAGAAGAAGAAGCAGAGAAGAAGAAGCAGAGTAAAGAAGAGAAGAAAAAGACGAGAGTCGCAGTGCAAAGTCGCAGCGAGAAAGGCAGCATGCTGACTATGGCGCGGTACTTTGCGGCTGGGCGGGCGTTTGGTGCGGGCGCAGGTACCTCTGCATGGCAACTATGCGAGACCACCAGCCATCCAGGACGGCCAAAGAGACAGCCAGAGAGACAGCCAGACAGCCAACGACGCTGCCCCCCCCCCCCCCCCCCCGGCTTGCCTGGCCTGCGGGCTTCCCAAGGGCAGGGGAAAGTCTCTTTCTTGGGGCGGCTTTACCTCCGCCTGGCTTGCGGGTTTTCTGGTATGGGGGGGCCCTTGTTGTTTTTTTTTCCAAGGCGACCCAAGGCGAAACACCCCAGGCTATACTGGAATCCTTCCCCCGGATAATCCGTTTCTCCGCCGGGTATCCGGGGCTAAAAATGGATATCTAGGC